CTGTCGTTTTTTAGGTACTTATCTGAGCTCTATAGAGACAATGTGCCTTTACTCTCATATTCCTCATAATTATTATTTTTTATTCACAGAACCTGAAATACACTAATATGTGACACAGCAGATATTTGATGGCACTCTTAAGACAGAATATCATTGCTTAAGGCAAGGTGACAGGGATAATAATCTGCCGTCCTCAATGTTTAATATTTAAGTCCCAGAGGAAGAACAAAAAGATGGCAGTGTCCTTGTTTCATTCGCCCTCCCCGCTCTGTCAATTGAGTCCAGAGTAATCATTCAAATACTAGTGTGTCTCCCACTATTATTGAGGCTGATTATTGTTGAAGCACTATGGGAATGATAAATGCACAAAGGCCATAATACACAAACTACATTTTGCTAAAAATTTACTAAATTAATTTGCATAAAAAACTACGCTCTCTCTTTGTGGTTATTCTTGTCCCGTATTTAATAATGTCCACATGTATAGGCTTCATGGAACAATGCTCATCTCTGTGGTATTTGTCATTAAATCTGTTTGCTGTGTGCTTGTTAGGATTTTTCCACTGTGTAAACATAGATTCGTCCCCTCCATTTGCAGCAATTACTCATTTTGTACATATTTTCTTCCCTCGAGCCTGATGGGAATATATACTTTGTAGGTCAATTTGGGGAATTGCATGATAATATATTGCGTTTGATATAAACGACGTATGCTACATACACTGCCACAGTATTTACCTCAAAGCTCTGGAACATGCAGTAGAAAAGGTCACATTACTTAGAACCATAATAAATGTTGCTGCATATAAATGTTGATTAATCCCTACAACTTTCTGGAAATTTTATTAAATATGAGTTTTCTCTTATTGCCAGAAACATTTAAGTGTTGAGGTTATTAGGCTCTAACATGGCATTTGGCCTACAAAACAGTAATTAATAAAAGAATATCTTCTTTTTGACATTTTAGTATAATCTGACCACATTCATTATTTTTACTTTTCTATCTCTATTTTCATATTTGACATTCTGTGCTAGAGGGTCTTAAAATGTCAACTGCCAGGGTATCTTTTTACATTTAAACTTCTTGTTAGAGTTAATAGCTGACAGCGTCGCCTGACTGAATAGAATTTAATGGCTTTTTTTTTTAAAGCTGAAAATGAGGTAATTTCACAAATGTTGTTTAAGCAGTTTAATGTCAAACCCCAGTTTTAATACCCTAGTGACAATGTTTGCTATTCCTCATTACATTCTGTTATGTGAACATACAGAGTTTGCCTAAGTTCATAATTCAACCTGTAAGATCTTGTAAAACAATAACATTTTTGCCTATGTACAAGGGGTGTGTGAGCATTTCTCAGTGGGCTCCATGCAGCTGACCGTGTGCATAACCATAGGCTTGATTAACAAGTTGATGAGTCAGCACAAGCTCTGGCATAGTTCATCAAGTCCACAGACTTCCCAACCTACAGCAAGGTATTGAAAAGTTCCATGAACTACTGTTAATCAATTACTCTTATGTCTTATTCAATTAATTTTAAATGTATGTGAAATCTCTTTTAATTCAGTTTAAGACCCAGTTAGTAACTTGAAGTTCAGTAAATCCCATTGTGGGGCTCTCATTTTAACTACTGCCAACTTACAGTAAGATGCACTTTCGAGCTTTGAATGCAAACCAGATTACAATAAGATATCAACAGTATTAGTGTGAGAAACCTGGTGTGTTATCAATAGAGTTATTTTAAATTGGATTTAAATGGAAAAAGAAAGCTTCCTGTTTGAATCTGGTCTCAGAAAAATCTTTTTTTTAATTATTTATTCTTTGTATCATACACTGATGAATAAGAAAATTATAATACAAAATGTTTTATCCCATAGACGAGCTGATACAATTTACAGCAATACAGCCACAACTGCTAAAGCACAACTAGATCTGGAGTGATGAGCGTAGTTTTCAGAGCTATATAGATAAATGCTTGCATTTCTCTGTGATACATTCTCATATAAAATACTGAAGGTCAATATTTCTATATATAATGAAGCTACCTAAAGCTGGAGGAAATATGGCCGATGCTACACACAAAAGGGCACCTCGTTAATCTAGTCACAGTGGGGGAGAAAACCGAAGTCGGGAACTTAAGCGTCTTTCATCGAGATGAGCGTACGAGATAAAAACTTGTCAGCTTTTAAGGTCAGACAGGTGCTTCATACTGATGTATTTTGATAAGAAACGTCATCTTATTGATGATTCAGAACGTTTTTAACTCAGACTACTGATGAGATGATATGCAGAGATTCTGTTATGGGATAGATTGTGGGATCCAGCATGAGAAAAAAGAACAAAAAACAGAGGAAATGTTGTTAGTGCAACAGTGAACAAAGACACAAGAGAAGTGAAGTGTCTCGGACACCAGGCAGTGACCTTTATGGAAGCATCACACTCAGCCTCTCACCTGGAGGATTTACTGTATATGGTACACCAAAGGATATTATTATTCCTTTGGATTTGTGTCTTTGAAATTCTGTGAATTAAATCAATTGAATGGGTAAGAGCTAGTGCCTTAAAATTCCCCTTTTTCCATATTAATGAAAATAATGTTTTTTTTGCTTCACAATATTGTTTTTATAATTCGTGCAATGCTATGGAAACTGGACTCTTTTAGGGGTCATGTTCGCACTTGAAATTTTCACCTCTCAACCTCATGCCCTCTCTGTAAAGAAATTAAAATAAAACAAACTGAAAACAATTTGTCCCTAAAGACTCGTCCCTAAATCACTCCACAGTACACTGGAACATCTTTTGGTAAACAACCTGCTTATAAATGGACACAAGCGGATTTTAGGAATCAGGGTTGGGAATGTTAATGGCCCACACTCTTCTCTCCCTTGGTAGACTCCTCCGAATTGCCCTGGAGCAAGGCACTTAACCCCTTACTTATACTGTTTTCTAGCAGCCACCTTCACAAGACTGATTGCTGTGCAGCTCCCTGGTGTGAGTATACCTTAACACTGAAAGGGATGTAGGTCATTGGAAAATACATCATAAACAAGCTGGAAAAATATTCCCAGAGCAAAAAAACATTAAACATAACATTAATACAACACTACTGCAGATACTTCTTTCCTTCTTCATATGACATTGTCTGTAAGGGGGATGTGTTTGAGGAGGGAGGATTTAAAATGAAGTGAACTGTGAAATGGTACCACACAAGAAAGTGAGCTGTCTCTGCTGGCTGCCGAGGGAATCTAGCTGTGATGATAAATTCAGGAAGTTACCCAACAACAAAACAGTCCGGGTCATAAGCCCAAGTAAAAAATAATGAGTCAACTGATTCCATAAGCTCATGGCTGTTTCTTTTTTTAACATCCTTAAACTCAATCAAGCACAAATCACAGAATCAGAATTGGCCTTGTGGGTAAGAGAAAGTAGAGAATTCTGAAATACCATTAGTTGTCACCATCAGGCCAAAATGATGTTTTTATTACCAATTTCATCCATCCATCCATCCATCATCGTAACTTATTCCCTAGTGGGGACCCAGTAGTCAATGAGCGAGAGGTGGGGTACACCCTGGACCCACCGCCAGTCCATCGCAGGGCCACAAAGAGACACACAAGGACAAAAAACCACGCACACTCACACTCACTCCTAAGTGCAATTTGGAATGTCCAATTAACCTAACTTGCAGGTTTTTGGACTGTCGGAGGAACCTGGAGAGAACCCACCGCAGACACGGTGAGAACATGCAAACTCCACCAATTTCACCAAAAGTAAAATAAGGGAGAAAATGTGTTGTATTCAACTGTATTCAAATTAATGTGGAAGTTGTGTAAACAAAGACATCCTACTGTAGAAAGAGGCCACTTTCTCAGCAGTTATGCTGGTGGTTGCCCCGCTGGCCATGTTTCTTCAAGTGAATACAAACAACGCAAACAAAAGAGGTCTTCAGGGTGGAGTAGGCTAAAGGGAAAAGCTAAATTGTGATGTTTAAAGATGGTAGACAACTATTTTTTTTATCATAGTTAGCAATATCAAATACTTGTAAGTGACTTATAAGAGAAGAACATTATCCAGGCTTTGAGAAATGAGGACAGTGGAACGTGGAAAAGAAAAATCTTGGAAACACATTTGAAAAAGTGTGTTTAAAGACAGATTTTTCAAAAACTTTACATAAGCTAATGCAGTTATTTCAATAACATAATCATGCTTGTTTTTAATGCTGTGTGAAGGCCTCACAGGCAATCATTGGGTTCTGACCTTGTTCCTTGTGCACAATAATGCCTGAATTCCTCTGACGAAGTTTGTATTACAGACAGTAGAATATATAAGGTTTGTGAAAATCTTAGGATCATTCAATGGAAATTGCGTCCCAATTTTTAGTGGCTATTCTGCAGTGTGTATTCTCAACACATATTTACCAGTGCCTCTCTGATGTGCTCTTTGTTATACCAGGTCACATTTCTGACTTGTTGATAACTGAAGAAATAATTGCAACAGTTTCTTCTGAAATTTCACTTTCCCAGTCAGTAGTTGCACTTCTCCCAGCTTTTTTTATTTAGAGGTGTTATTGCCAAGGTGAGCTAATATTTTCGTGCAACAGTAAATGTTGACATTTAATATATTTTTGATATTCTGTGAAAAACAAACTGATAATTCTGATCTGCAAATCACAGAAGGTCTCCGATAGAATAACAGTAGGCTAATCAGTGTATATAATTTATGCTTCCTCATTTGAAGTCATCCAATAATGGGAGGGCTTTTAGACAACCTAGCCATTTCTATTCCCTTCACCTCTCTTGCGGTGTATGAAATCGTTTTGATTTTACCGGATGGGAATCCGTTGTTTACGCAGGATGATGTGTCGGTGTGGCTAATAAATATTTAGTCAGGCCTAATTGAATAATCAATCGGGCAGGCTGTGATCCCGACCGCCCCGCCCTCCATCTGAGGGCCATCTCCTCTGCGGCCGGGCGCGTGCACTCACCTCCATTTCCTTAGCAACATGCTCGTGCCGTGCGCGCGCGGACGGTTCACCTGTGGCGTTACCCGCGGAGAGACGCACCTCAGCCCTGAGTGAGAAAACTCCTCTTCAGTGTTACAGGAACACCTTTTCGTCTTAATGGTGAGCATGCACGATGAGAACTGGACACTGCAAAGGCCATTTAGCAGACGGGGCTGAACCGGTGCGCACAGCAGATGGCCCATGTGTGCGCGCCCTACTAGTCAGATTACCAGTCCCCAGTAAATCCCGGGCCTAGCAGTGGCAGGATGGGGGCTGAGTTTAATGCTGCAGTAAGCTGCTGTTAAACGCAGTCCGGTTGGCTGCAGGCCTCCAGCCGTACGTCTGTGTGCACAGGACCGACTCAGATCGTTTAGCAACATTTCATGTTTTTTTCTTAATCCACCGGACGATGATTTGCGTGTAAATAGAGCAGCAGCCTTTTGTTTGTTGGTGTTTTAAGTAGAACACACTATGGATGTGAATTCAGAGGAGAATATAAGTAAGTGAGGTATGGCTTCAATTCTCACTTCCCAATATATTGGGGAAAAAAATTAGACTGACTGATTAAATATTTATTTACAAAAGTAAAGTAGTTAGGTTGTAGTAGTTGTTTTGGAGATGCTCCATTAAAGAAAAAAAGTTTAAAGTAAAGCAAAAGAAGAGAAAAAACTTAATCCAACCAAAATTTCAATACCTACCCACACTGATGGAATCAAAAGTTGTTTTTTAGTCTGTAACTGTACCACACGCTCTGGATTGTTTTAGTGTGACCATGCTGCCTTATACATGTGAAGTTTAGACCAAAATTACCCAGAAAATTGAACAAGTTTCCCAAGCTAATGTTAATCTCACCTCTTTGTACCCGAGTAAGACAATACACAGAAGACTATGAAACAAGTAACAAGCAGTGGCAGATGAAGATGCCTAGAAAGACAACAAACAAAAACAAACAAACATCTAAAGGTGAAGTCATGCTGGCAAAGATGTGCTTGTGTTAACAGTGGCCTAATTTAACCCATAGTTGAACCAGATTTGAGGTATTACACACCTCAAAAGCAACCCGTGGTTACATGTCCTTTGGAATATTTCTCTGAATTAGCTGACAAAAAAATAGACAAACAACAGGCGCTTGCTAAAGTAGGCAAGTCAACCAGCCTCGCGCCGTTCCAAGGCGTGGAGTAAAAATGGTTTTGCTGTCGGCATCAATTACTGCATTTAGAAGGAGAAAAATCAATGTGGGGGTTAGTTTTCAGGGTAGCGAGGCACCAATGCTCATCAGTGTTATAACTGATTAGTTGGGATCCACACAGCTACCCAGGGAGCACAAGTGATGAGTCCAGCAGCAGCTGTGACCAGCAGCCTGCTGGTGTTTGGCTAATCAGTCCTCCAGCGGCTCTGTGCTGTCCTAGTGGCCTGCTATTGGTGCTACCGCACAGAAAAATCACACGGATTTCTTCAGGTTTAAAGCTCACCTGCAGTATGTCATGAGTTAATAGGCAGATCAAGAGTTAATATGTTTAGCATTTTTGACGAATGGTAATCTCATTTCTGTTGTCTAAAGAATATCTGAGTCAAATTTATTTTGTTTTCCTTTTTTTAAACTATATTCCGAAAAGAAAGATATGTATTCTGATTTAGTAATGATGGCAGTTGACCTATTTCTGCTCTGACCTAGTGTGAAATAAAACATCATCTACTGAATGCATCATGTCAGTGATGTCAGAATCTCTGCTATATCTGTTGAATACATAGAGGTGAGGAGTTTTGGATTAAGGTTTTTAGAATTTCAGTAGCTTTACTTTAGCAGGGATCTATAAAATGTCCCTTATTTTCCCGTAGAACTGTTTTAATTCTCAGGATTTGCAACTAGAATTACAATACAATAGAAACATGCATGGAACTAACCGTCACCACCAGTCCATGAGAAGGAGACGAAAAAAACGAGTCTGTGAAAAATCAGCAAAACCAGAATGGCACAGAGGAAACACCAGTAGTGCCCAGTCACATAATCTGTCTGTGTCTGAGAAGTTCTGAATCAGGTTGATGATGATGACAAATTAGCATATGCATGGAGGATTACACGGTTTATCTCAACAATGTTTGCTTCGTCGTACACCTGCTCGCCCTTTATTCCTGCATAAGAGCCACTGTACTGTAACTAGCATCAGCACCTCACTCACGAGGCCCCGTCTTCAGCGCTGTCTCGCTGCAGTGCACTGACGGCTTAATGAGCCAGACTTTGCTACTTCACAGGGAAAATGAAAATGCAATCTTTCTCATTAGATGGTAAGTTAGCAAATGTTTTCAGAAGTGGCCTAGTTTATGATCAAACTCTATTCAGTGGGCTTTGTTTGGTGAAATGACTCATTTCTATTTGTAATGGGATATAGCTTGCAGCTCCGCAAACATTGATTATATTCATTATTGAGGCATCTCCTGATCTTTTTTTAATACTCTGTGAGTGGTTTTGCTCAGAAAATTGAAGAACATTGGGAAATGACCTCAATGTAGCAAATATTAGTAAAATATTCTTTATTTACCAAATAAAGAAATTCCAAATAAAATGTCCTTACAGTCACCCAAACACTTATTAGAAGCATCATTCCACTTTTTGCTGCCTTCCTATATGACAAAGCAATTGACACATAGCTGCAGTTTGATGTGGTGATTTGTTTTGTTGTCCTGGTGTCTACGTGCCAGCAGCCATGTGAGGATTTACAACACTGCCTTGATCCATTGCTCTCAGCACATCTGTGTGATTGGCATACTAAACTATGGGTTGAACTTGGATGTACTGATGGAAAGAAACCGTGAGACAATTAGTTGACCCTTACATGCACAACCTTGCCTCTGACCCACTGGCCCCCATTATACTTGAAACACCCCGTGTCTGGCCATCAGTTTAATCCTGACTGATCGATACTGTTAAGGCACCTTAATGTCCCAGAAAACCTTTTTCTATGTTTATTTATTTAGGTGTTTATTCTTTCTTTCAGAGGAAGTCAATAGTATAGACTGCTGCAGAATAACTGTGTGAGATGGTATGAAAAATGAGTCAGGTTAAAATCGTTTAAATCACTGCACATTCCAGGCGGATGAATTGTGTTGGGATCCAAAGTATCCATCATGTAATTAGTGTACGATTAAAACGGGGCCCGAGTATTACTTTGGATAGTTAAAAAACATTTATGGCTATATGTCTATTGATAACACGGCATCAATATCAAATGTACCGAAAGCTGTGAAATCTTTTTGTGTCCTTTCGTCACACATTCATGTGAAAAATGGGCTTTCAAAAACTGGCCTCAGGGTTTCTCTTTGGTGTAGTTTATCATTCAGGTTATATTGAACCTAAAAGTTTGAATAAAGTCCAGGTGTACATCCCTCCTTTTTTGGTGTATGTGGAAGTTTAAAGTTTAATGTCAAATGTGCATTTACACGACGAAGCACCAGAATAAAAAGCATCTTTCGTCTGGTGCTTCCGTCTTTTCCCTACAACTTCTGAAACAGTTATGCTGAAAATGCAAAACAACTTTCTGTAAAGACTCAGCAGTCATTTGCAGTTGCTTTGTTTGTAAGTGCATAGTAGCTATGTGTGCTATTATCCACCGTAATAATGAGCAATGCAAAGTGTGCTCCGCAGTGTCCTTGACAACCCGAGTCACATCCTCCCTCATCCTTGAGTCATAACACGAGTCTCAACATGTACTAGTCACAGCTACGGATGTGATTGCAATTTGTTCACAGTTTTAAGAATTGATTTGAATCTGACATTCCTCTATTGAATCTTTTTAGAGTTATCGTTATTAGGTTTTTGTTGGAATGTTGTTATATGATTTCACATCAGAAACTGCATCTGCACAATATAGTTCTCTGGCTGCACAGCGTGCTCTTGGGTTGAAGCTGCTGGTGGCCTTTGGTCTTTTTATTCACAGTTTGCATATTCTTTCTCTGACTGTGTGAGCTCTCTCTCGCCGCACACGTTTCCCCTCACATTCCAAAGACACATGTAAAGCTAACTGGGGCTTTTCTTGATGCCCTGTAGATTCTACAGTGAGCTGAGTGTGCATGGTTGATGATGCATAATTAGCCTTGACTGGTGAAAAGAACCATTGATATGTGATATTATTAATTGAATCATTTCGTGGGGTTAATATAATGGGGCCCTCTGCTGAACAGCCTTTCTAACGAGTTAGAATTAGAGAGAAAATAATCAATCAAGTTTTGGTTGAAAAAGTTTTGGGAATCAGGTAGACGGCTAAGGAAACTCCTCCCACCCACATCACATGTAAAGGCATCATGTGGCATTTTAAAACTGTTTTTAAATCCCAACATTAGATATATTGATTCAAATTCATTGGTTTAAAACTTCCCTACGGACTGACACACATTTAGTAAATCTACTCTTTAGTTCCGCACAGCACAGCATTTCAGTTACTTAGGACTTTTCTGTCTTCAAGGATTTATTTATCTGTGGGGGAAGTCAAAGAGCAAGTAAATCTACCAGATTAGGTGGTGTTTTTCTTCCAATTCATAAATTCCCAGTCCCAGGTGAAGGTTGCATCTTACCCATTATCTCACAACACTTCACATATAACATTTTGAGAATAGATTTGTACTGCCATTTGCTTAGCTTGGATTTGCTTAGCTACTGATTGACCCTCACAGTAACAGTAGACGGGTTTGGATGGTGACAGGAACTGGTCCCCCTGCTGCAGGTGGTCCCCATCAGTAACTTGTGTCACTCCTTGCAGGTGGTACCGGTCTGTCAAGTGCTTTCAACATGCCCCTTAGGGACTTGGCAGTAGAGCAGTGTTTTTTTTGTCTGAGCTTTTCTCTGAAAACAGCTGCCTGCTGATGGTGACAATGACAAGTGGGCTGACAGTGAACCAAAACGGGGAAGTTACAGGTCGTTAAAAGCGAAAACATTCAAATGCTCTGTAGAGCCGAGGGGAAGAAGCTCAGCAACTCTATGACCACGACTCCTCTCATATCAGGCAGACGTGCTGGATTCATTGGTAATGTGGAAGTATTGATAAGAGCTGTTTTAGATAAAAGTTGAATTAAAAATAGATAAGTATAGTTGTATTAGCCTTTGAGTCATTGCCTATAATCGTTGCCCTGCAAACACTGCACCAATTACAAATCTTACGTATTAGAATTTTAATTCGATTTTGCTCTTCAGAGATGTGGTGCTGCTCTCCGATTCGGTCAGTGAAACACAATAGTCAACATCTCATGTAAATTAGGTCCTCTCAGTCCCAAGGGAGTCTTGATGACGACCCTTGCAATCTCATTCACTTCATCACTCCCCCTTTCCATTGATATTGGTGTTCCATATTCAGGGCTTTATTACTCAGCCCCTTGTGATTATTCATATCAACCCTTGTGAGCAGATCATGGAGCTGAAGGTTTTCTAGCAGTGAGGCTTCCTTACTTTGTTGTTTTTATCTGGTGTGCATGTATGGAAAATTGCCTGAGAGGGAAAGACAATGCTGTCTGCTGTAAGTCATCTTGCTGCCCGGCAGTGAGGTATCAGCCTCCTGAAGAGGGGGGAGAATATTTATCTGACACTGTCACTCTCTATAGAAACCTCAGGGAGGCTGAAGCTGCTGTGACACACATGGTGGTCAGCAGCCCTGCATATGATTATGTCAGGGTGAGGCTTCAGACTCGCTGAAGCCTCACTTTTATTGTGGGACTGAAACTTTCCATTCTGGGCTCTGTTTTTATTTTCCTGAATGAAATTGTAAGCTCTCACAGTGTAATAATGTCAAGCAGCCTATGTTTGTTTTGTGGAAATGCTCTGTGTTCTGCAACTATTGACCTACTTCTTTGTTTTCCTCAGGTTTTTTCCATTCTTGTGGACTCGTATGATCAATTTACCCCTTCCCTGAACCTGATGCTGTTGGTCTCGATGCTTTCAGCCTGATGATGATGCCTAAATTGCGACAAAGGAGGAAAATGGATTCAGCATTTTTTGTGTTTTACTTTGGTGCCATTTTTCTGACTTTTCACATCGTGCACTGCCAGGCGGTTTGCAACAGACAAGCTTCCATTGATTGGCACCCTAACAAACGCGCGGTCCAAATAAACTGGACTCTTGTAGGAAACATCTGCCAGAGTGCATCTGAGTGCTGGGGTTCTCGGGGGGGGCACCCATTGAGTGAGCAGCTTTTAAACTTCCCACAGATATGCCCGCTTCAGCTGCAACATGGAGACAAGCTTGTGATGTCAGCTGATGAAACACTCAAATCATACGGCATCAGACTTCTTAACGTGTCAAAAGACAACTTCGAAAGTTGCTCCACAAACGGACAGTCGGAAGATCAGTTTCTATTCCCTCGTAATATAAATGAAAATGAGCCTGTCGAGGCCAAGTGGATCGTCCCGGGTCATCATTATTTCATTGCCCTACATGATGGTGACATGCAGCTGTGCAGGCTGGGCCTAAGGCTCAACGTGTCGGTCAAACCCCAACTGTGCCAGGCCTCTCCTCTGCTCCGACTCTGTTCAGGGAATGGAGTTTGCCAGACAAGTCTCTGGGAAAGTGCTTACCACTGCGGATGCTCTCACCGTTACTCCGGGAGGTTTTGTGAAAGGTTTGATGTGTGTTTGGAAAACCCCTGTGAAAACAAGGGAGTCTGCTTGAGTGACGGATCCACAGATCCAAACAGCAGAGCATATAGATGTCTCTGCCCTCCACATTTTACAGGTAAGAAAGTTACTCATCATATTTGTGGATAAAATCATTTGGATTTTAAAAACCAGAAGTGTCATCAGCTTTTTTTCTTTCGAAATCTCTGTTCCACATTGTAACTGGTTCAAATTAAACAATATTTGTATCAGCTCCCTCTTGAGATTTAAGGAATACTACTTAACCTGATATGATGGCAATCAGTGCCACAATACATTCATATTAGACATCAGGTTGTTATTCACTGTAAATCCTGTTGCTCTCATGACATGCCAATTATATAAATATCAAAATAGCTTTCGATCTTATCTAATAGCTTCCTTTTCCTCCAACATTATGCACAGCTTAGAAAACACAACATATAGAATACGCAAAAGAGGATATACAGCAACTCCTTAATTTACTTTTGTCTTAATTGCTGAGTCGCATAGCCAAATTGACATGTTTACAGAACTCGTGAGTCTTTCTAGAAACTGACAATACCAGATAATGAATAATTTTATATGCCTTTGTCCCATTGCAATCATGTCTCGGGGTAATTTTCCATCTCATCAAAAAGGTCTCAGCATATTCTCTGCTAGTAACATATCAAGATGTCAGAAAGACCATTATCAGTTGCTCTACAATATTAATGTACTTTAATGTATTGAACAGTTATAGAACCCCACTTTTGGATATTTCAATGCTACAGGTCTGAAGGAATCAGCATTTTCTTAAAAACTGGTTTTGTACATGTTCAAGATATCACCTGATTGAAATAATTTGATGACTGTGACCAACGTTAATGAGACCATTTTTTTCAGATAGAATTGAAAAAATTGTTGTACATGCAAACACACACCCATCCCTCCTTTGGAGTAATCAGACAGTATGTGTGTTGCAGGGGTTAACTGCTCTGAAGTTGTCGGGAAAGCAAACTGTGACAGAATTTGTGGAAATGGGACATGCGTTCAAATGTCATCTGCCTCCTTCAAATGCATCTGCGACCCTGGATTCTCAGGTAAGCGACCTTTTTTTACAGCGATTTCTTGCAATAAGATGGAATGTTCGTCACAGTGAAAGTGAAAACCTATTCTTAGAATGTCATTTCACAGTTTTAAACACTATTCTGTACATAAAACTGTTTTGTAAATTGCACACAGCCCCAACAAAATAAAGACCGTGCTGCATCACAGTTCCATATGTGAATCTTTTTCGTTTGGAAAGGTTGGAACTATGTTTAGAAAAGCTGAGAACTACAAAGGTCATAAATCATAAAAAGATCAGAACTTCCTTACGGGCTTTAATCCAGATCTCCCTTGATGTCGTATTTGTCATCATAATATATGGTGCGGCCATCTCAAATCAACTACACCATGTAACAACCTGTGATGTGATGCTGTAGAGGGCCAAGGCTAAACTGCTCTCTAACTGAGTGTGACAGAGTTAATAAAACAAAGGTTTACAGCAATCAGTTTAAGTGTCTTTATAATGTGTTGTTTCTGCTGAGCACTGATTTATAAATATGACTGGAGGAAAAAAAGGCATTGTCCACACATACTAGCATTCATATTGTGTGTGTAATCAAAATAGCCCCTGAAAAGTACATTCTAATGGCATTCACCATTTAAAAAAACATACTTTATTTTCTTATTGACTGGTGTTTTAAACCTTACACTTAACAAACCATTGTTGATTAAACCTAGTAATAATTTATGTAGCATTTGTTAAAGGGCAAACTATCCCTCGTGATGTGACATTGGATGGAACTCGCAAACTTGTGAACTTCAGATACTGCTTCACACATTCAGACATGTATTCAGACATTCCTACTTCATTTTTTTTTTTGGTCTGATCTACCATAATTAATGAATGTGTTAGGTTAATGGAAACCACAAATGGACAGCAAGATGTTGATTTTCCTTAGACTGCCCTGGATCTCACAGTCGGCTGTAAAAGCAGGGATGAATACCCCTTGTAGCTCCTTGCATTGATTCATTGTTTTGTTTGCAACGTACTTTGTCTTGGCAGAAGTGTCATAGCTTTGCCTTTCGAATCCAGCTCATGTGTTCAGCTTATTAATTTATAGATGTACTTTTACAGTTGCTTGCAGAATTCTCTGGCATCCATTTAGATGAGAGTACTTTAGAGCCTTACAGTGCAGGAAGAAAGTCTTTATCCTCTGCTGAGGCAAGAGTTGAGGGGGAGGCATCTGATGGATGTCATTTTGTTTGTCTGTTTGTTGAATTGGCTTGGATAGGAGGTGGAGCATGGGTGAAGGAATAGCCCATTAACTTCAGGCGCATGTCAAGATTGCTTTCTTTAAAATTGCATAAAGAAAAAGGGATGGCCTTGGTGGCCAAGTCTCAGTGCAAATGCTTTAATTTTACACATAGTTTATCTAAATTCATATGTAGTAAAGGGTAGCAATACTGTGGATAAGAACAACTCTTAACAAGTATTTTATATGGATTGTCATTACTGCAGTGGCCACTTTTGTTGTCAGCCCTGTCATAAACTAAAATGTTGATCATTTTAATGCGACAAAGGCCTCGTATTATTATTATTGCCCTAACCAGATGTGTGTCTCAGTGACCTGATATGAGTGTTGAGATATAAAGGTCTTATGCAAAAGTAACAACTCAAGAATATGGTGCCACCAGCAAACACATGCACATATAAACATAAAGAGAGAGGGATATAGAGAAAAGCTATGGTAAATAAGCTAAAACTGATTTAGAGGGTTATGCAGTCAGCAAATTTGTCTTTCACAGTTATGGGTGTCAAGATTGGTGTAAGCGTCAAATGAGCATCTACCAGTGTGTTTTCAGTGCCATAAAAGGATTGGTCATCATTCAGCACTTTGTACCTAATCTGGGAATCAGAAGATGGCATCTGGCACGTTGCAAAAATAGCAGACGACTGCGTTATACTCTGAGACGATACTGAAATGATTTGTTCATTTGTTCTTGTGTGTTTTAAGTAGATGTTCTCATCACTTGAATAACATTTTTTTATTTGTTTCCTGCATTTTTCCTAAATGTGTATTTTGTTTTAAGTTGAGTTTCGACTTGGTGAAGCTAAACAAAACGACTGACCTTTTGGAAAAGTGAAAGAAAATTGCAAACAAACCATCTATATCATTTATATTAAATATGCCAGTTACTTTTCTCCGATTTGCCATGGCAGCTTTCATCTGATTTGATTTAATTGCTGCTGATCTCGCAAGTAGATGGCCTCCACTGGATGCGTTCACATGGTTGCAGTGTCCCGCTGTCCCATCAGCTTCCTGGGAGTTCTGTGGAGCTTGCCTTTCCTCCACCTCCCTGCTGCAGTTGGCTCATTAATCAACTGGAAGTTAGTGGCTGTTCCACTGCTGGCTGCCCTCACAGGCCAAAGCCAATGCGTACAGAATAATGAGTCAAACTCGTGGGATGTTTCAAATGAGATTTTCTTTTGATTTGACTCTCCTCTGCACTACCTCTGGAGTATTTATTACAAGGTATTATGATCTTTATAGGGCCATTTCTATTTGTTATAAGTTTTTTAATTGATTTCGCATTCAAGAGAGGAGTTTGAAAAAAAGTATTGTGTTTGTAATTATTATCTTTCATTAAACAATCAATTAATATTTACAGAGAATTCTCAGCATATGTTAGATATGATTTTGGTGTTTATTAATGACCATTGTTTAAAGTGGATATGGTGCTGTTACAGTCGTGGGATGAATGACTGTTACAAATAGACATATTTGAATCCGTACTGCTTTTAGTGAACCAGTTCTGAAAACTTGTACAAATAAGTTTTGGCAAAAGCAAACCTTGAAGTTATACACTGTAAGATTGATGCCCACAAAGGAGGCTGTGAGGAGCCTCTGGGACATGAGCACTTGTATCAGCAGGGGGATTAAAGAAAATATGCAAAGAAAGAGTCACTAGAAAGATAAATGTGTAGGCACCATCTGAAGAACACAAAAAAATGAAAACCCTCACAGGGGAATAACATCAAATTTTATTCACCTTGAACCTTCACTGAATTCAGTCTAATTTTATCCTTTGCTCACAGTGTCACTGCCGCATTACCCTGCCTCTGGTTTAGCTGCTGTTGGTGAATATGTTATGGTTCCACAATATCAATAAAAAATAAAAATAAATTACTGGCTAGAGTTTAGTTTGAAAATGGCTTTATCAGAAATTCATATGATACGAATTTAGTTGTATTGAGTACTTTACAGTTCAGTGGAAAGCCCCCATAAAAGCAATTTGTACATCTTTAAGATGGCTCTCGGTTTATTTCTGTGTTCTGTGCAGCAGATGTATTGACTTCTGTATTTATTTTTTATTCAATGTGCAGACTTCAAAATGTACTGGCCATCTGGTTAAGTCCAGTCATTCTGTGGTCAACCTGTAACAGTAGCAGGACTCCATACTAGTATACATTGTCATCTGATAGGACTTGGGCACAAATCAAATTTTGAGAAACATGTTACAAGGAACATCCAAAACAGTCCAAATAAAATCATAAATGGATGAGGATGTTGACACTTTTGCGAGCTGCAAACACAAAAAGTTTCTTGTGCAAATATGGAGAAGAACCAAATGTGCCGTAAAGAACATTTCTGAAAGACTACGCAGGGACAATGCATCCACAGCTAACACAATCTCTGTTACATTTACTTATTTATTTCAATGCTTGTTTGAAGAAAAGTATTTGTGCCATCTTCTTAAATAATTGTGTTTTGTCGGCTTAATTATTCTCTCCTCCGATTATTAGTTCTTTTATGAGGGTCCCTTAAATAAGCAATTGGAGGCTGAGATAAAGTTGTTTATTTCTTTTGTTGAATATGGATTTAGTCTAATTTTAAAAATACAACTACAAAGTTGGGATGTGGGGTAAAATGTAGATAAAAAAAATAGAATTATTTGCTAATCCTGTAAACCAATTTAATTAAAGTTTTTTTTCACAGAAAAATGTACCAATTGCATTAAATGTATTTTATTGTGGTTGACAGCTACACAGATGGGAACTTTGGGAGAGGAATATGGTTTTGTTATCATCTGAAAGATTTGAACTGCAGGCCAGTTCAGCACCCACACTGATTTCTCTGAATTATTAGATTGTATCTGATTGAATGTGCTGGAATATTATGTAACATATTTATGGACATTATCCTGATTTGTCTCCACTTTTTTTAGATTGCTTTAACTTTCGCCAATATTGACAAGTTCCTGAGTTGTTACCAGTTAACATCATTCTTTCTTTCAGCTGTTTTATAAATACCACTTTTCCCCCTTTTGCTTCTCCCATCTTAACTTTAGAACATATATCTGCCATCACCTTCTAGATGATCTTAAATAGTGTTCATCAAATGATAATATGTCCCACTTGCTCCAGAGGAAGCTTAAGGACTCTGCAATATCAATATGCTTAGTTACACTATTTTCTATTGCAAATGTAATTATTTGTACAGCCAGTCAATCTTGTTTTATTTCACATTTAACGCAGCATTGCACCTTTTTTTTTTTCAATTGGTGTTGAATGTGTATATCTATATACCAGTGCAATGTCAAAAGATTGCCCCAAACACATACCTACCTCCAGTGTCAGTCAGCCCTGTCTTTGAGGATTAAAAGTCAGGTCAGTCATGCCATTTCAGGCGTGCTGCAATTTTGCTTTGCAGTGATTTACTGTTGATGTTTGTCACATGAGATTTAATGACGAAAGTGTGAGTGCATGGGGTAGTCCAACCATAGCAGTCGACAGGCTTTTGCATGTTGCAGTTTTCAATGCGTCCTCTGTCTGAGTGAAAGCGCCGTAATCTTCTGTTACTGGTTTCGCAGGCCCTCCCTGTGAGAAGAGGAAAGCCCCCTGTGACCCAAATCCATGCCGAAATGGTGGCGTGTGTGCAGAGAACCCCGAAGGATTTGTTTGTCATTGTCCACAAGGATTCGAGGGCCTCTACTGCGGCTCTCCTGTTAACTTTGACTGCATGTCATACTCATGTCAAGAGGAACAAATTTGCACTGCAGGGGAGCATGTGAGGACTTTATTCCCCTTATTTCTTTCATCTCAGTGGGACATAAACAAGAAACGGCACATGAAAATTAATAGTGTCTTGAAACAAGATCAAATGGCTTCATTCTGAAGGCTCAGACAGCAATTAATATATCCGGCTGAAGATGAGCTAAGGGAAGGAGTGCCAGTGTCTTCTAGCATTTTGATTGAATGACCCTGTGCATATTTAAGAGCCGACTTGAAATTGCTCTCATCAAAACCTTTTTGTAATTGAATGCCTGCTGCAATTTTCACCTTTCACTGGAAATGTTACCATGGCTATGCATTTTGCAGAGGCAGTACTGTTTCGAATGCTCTGGAGGATACTCCAGAGAATATACAGTTGTGCTCTAATTGTCCTTCTGTATAACCTTTGTTTTGTTCATTACACATTGTGAAGTGCACTATGTGTTTTCACAACCCACCTAAGAATACCAGAATAGAGCAGACTAAAAGGGACATTTATCAAAATAATGCTTGTTGTAGTTGCTGCTTAACATATATATCCAGCAGCTCTATCTGAATTACAGCAACATTAACATTTATTAACTTCTCATAATATACTGAACACAATGTAAAAAATAATTTTGTTCCCTAACTCAACAAGATTTGTTTTAAAAGGGTTGGGGGATTGTGTCAATGTGAATATTAACAGTTTAATTATTTCCAAACCATGGAATTACTACAGCGTAATTGGCTAACAATGAGACATAAATAATATTGAGTGTATGTATGTATCCATATATGTTTTTTATGGGTATATACATTGACAGATGGCCGTTATGAATTTGATGTGAACAACATGTTTAAAAAAGTTGAAACAGGGTACCGTATTACCATTTGGATTAGTCATATCTTTTTTTTTTTTTTTTTAAGGACATTGATTGCTGAAGAGCCCTGCTGTGTATTATTATCACTGAGGTATTTTCAGTCAGATTGCTGATATAAACAACACCTACCAGAAAAAGATCTAACCGGGAGGGCAGCATGTGTAGGTCTAAAACCTGCATCCTTCGTACAAAATTATAAGCATTCACAGATGTACAAGTCACTGTTACCATGTGTGAGTCAGCAGATTACAGCACATAGATTCAGTTCAGTTACCTTGGTAGATTGACTATCATTTGTTGTTGAACTTGTTCTCTCTGCCTCCTTTCAGATTAACGTACCTCATCAAAATAACTAATCTGCTGAGATATTCGACCAAATAGATTTCATTTATTTCTCTAGCATCGCACAACTTTCCCAATCTGTCGTTACTTTTGTCTGCATTACATTTTCCCCAAATTGTGTTGCTGGCGTCAAAGTAATAATGGTCATTTTTTTCGATTTGCTCAATGGAACAAAACTCTTTAATCTATTGACTTGATCTATTTTTTTGTTTAATTGAGCTTTAGATGAGTTTGTGTCAGTATTTCCATTGCACACATGGTGCCACCTTTAAATGAGTTTTAGGGATTAATCAAGGCAGAATTCCCAAAGACATATATTTTATTGATTAAACTAACTTATTTAGTGATTTAGTGTACTGCCTGTGTATTCTAACCCTTTTTTTCCCCAAGCTGACAAGTGACCTAGTTTGTTTTACTTCTACATGCAGGCCTCTGAATGTGTTTGTGCAGATGGTTCCGTGGTCCCAGAATGCAGAAGGCAGCACAGCATGTGCAACCCATCACCCTGTCTGAACAATGCCACCTGTGTGTCCAAAGGAAAAGATTACTTCTGCCGGTAAAACACTGAGTGCCATCTAACCCATAGCAACAACATTACTGAACTTGGTCATACTTGGTGTCAACAAGTGTCAAGAGTGATGCATGTTTTTCTATTTCCTCCATTTCTTTATTCAGTTTGCTTCTGTTGATATTATTTACAATGAGCAGTTCTTTTCAGATGAGATCCATTCAGTTGGTATTTAATTGAAAACAACATGTAGATCGTACAGTATGAGACAATTTTAAATATAGGATTAAACTTCCATATATTCTACACAAAAAAATAAATTTTTTACATTTCTTTCATGATAAGTTCAGTTTATTAACTGTTGACTTACAGCTTAGGTAGATTCAGTTTATTCAAAGGCAGGTTACAGTTTTGAATTTTCAGGAAAACACTCCGGGAGTTAGCTGAGTATTTCTGTGTCTGTTCTGAGGGAAAGACCATGAGCAGTTGCATCAGTAATCCGGTGGCAAAGCGGGTGTCATTTCAGGTTTTGTTTGCAGTTTTCTTAGACAAATGCCGTCCGTAGTGCACAGATCAGCTGCCTCTCGAGTAAAGGATCCCGTGAAGAATTGCAACATGTAAGCTAAAACTATCTAAGTGCATGTTAGTGCTGCATCATATTTAAAAACTCATGACTTCGGCACCGTGAGAATTAGCAGCCTGATCATTATTTTATTGCTGTTTGTTCTTTACAATGAGACCAGTCGAAGGACTTGCTGGAATGCTAGAAGGCCAAGATGAATGGAGCTCATTAGCATATGCAAGGCTCCCTACTCAGTAGATGAGAAAGAAGTTAGAGAGTCATGTTCTGTTTAACATTGTAGCTAGATAGGCCATGAAAGATTTTTCATGGCAATAGTTATACAATTCTCAGGAGAACAGATCCGTTTTGAGGCGGTTCAGCGGTTGCTGAACTGGACTTTAATAGGTCACTTTATTAGTAACAGTGCAATGTTCGTGTTTTTCTTTTTTAAATGTCAAACAAATATTATGTCATGTGCTTTATTTTGATTATGATTTTTTAAAAATGGGAATGGTACTGAAGAAGTATATAGTTCTCTTAGTGTTAGCATGGTTTGTCAAAAACACAGTCACCTGTTTGCCACAGGAACTGCATGTTATTTGGGATTACTACTACACGTGCTGTTTTAGTTTATTTGAATCAGACGGAATAAATTCTCTGTTTGTTTGTTTTTTTAGCATAATGTTGCAAACAAAATGCCCACATTTCAAAGGAAGCACAAGAAGTGTTTAAGATCTATGGTTTATACATAAATAGATTAAATTATGTCAGGCTGAAGAACTTTGGGAAAAGATTCTGTGCCTCATGTTTAACTTTGTTCTCTGCATCAGATTTGTTGACGATGCAAAAATATGGAACATCTCCCAGATTTAGGTTAAAAAACTGCTATGGTCAGATACTGTTTATTTAACACAAAAAACCTTCAGCATAACAATGTCAGACATCATATATATGTTTTATTCCTGTTTTGAATCTGAAACTGTGAAAAGTACACATGCAAGCTATATAATCTTGAAACAGTTTTAGCTCAGATTCCTCTCAGAGGAAACAGGATTCTGCTAGATTACAGTATTCCTTTGATGCTCTCTTTATACCTCTGAATATGATGTGAGCGCTGGTATTTTCCCATTTCCATCATCCATGTGAGACACTTGGTAAATCACAAGATGAAATGGTGTTTCTGTAAGACGCCACTGGGCTTAACATTAAAATGTTTTCTGCTCACTTTTAGTGGGCTCCAACTTCCTGGACATTAAGGTTTTGTTACATCTGAAGACTTTCAAATCATACTCCTCCTTATTGTGGTCATGTATTGTGGTTGGCTTGTAACAAATTTCATTGCAGCTCCCTCTGTACTTTTAGTTGAATAAGTTTTCATCATTGAACACAGAGTAATACAGGGTGGGTGATACAATCGGTGAAATAAACAGCAGGAAAAAGGGTTAATCTGTGATTCCTAATGGGCCTTAATGTTTCCTGATAAACGAAGTCCACCCATTTGTCAATGTAGGTCAGACAAATTGGAAGAAAAACGTGCACACGTTATTTCAGCCAGGTGCTTGTCACAATAAGATCATGCGTAAAACTGTATTACAACCCCAGGTCTCCTGTAAAATGAAACAATGCAGAGCTGCTCGTTATTGCACAGGGCTCGGCTGAATTGATTTTGATGACACTGACCTCCTCTCAACAGATGTCTGAGTGGCTTTTCTGGGAAGAACTGTGAAGAAATAATTGACTACTGCAGGCTGCTCAATATCAACTGCCTAAATGAGGGATTGTGCTTGAGTGTAATTGGCGGATATCAGGTAGGTAATTCAATGTTTCGGTCATAATGAAATACTCTGAAGCCCACAAAATATGATTCATGCTGCATCTTAATGAGGGTTATGTTAATAAACACAGCTCATCCATAGACAGAGCAATGTATACAGTAGCCATTTTGTTGTCCTAAGTGTGGAACAGAAATATATTTTTATTTTTCTATTTTTAAAATGACCCAGACAATGTAAATGAGATATGTTATTGTTTGTATTTTTGTTTTAAAACCAATATGCATTTGTGTGATCATTTTAAAAAACTAAATCACATCTTTTATCACAATGTACCAATCAGTTATTAATGGCGTTTAATAAAAGATTCAGCCAAAAAGATACATTACAGTAATGTATCTTTTAATAGAGTAGACATTTTGTTTGACATAAAATATATAAGTTCAGTCTATTAAAGACATTCAGCTTTTTCTTGCATGCCATTTCAAAAGTATCCCCTTTTGGTTTTTAATATTCTTTTCATAAGAATATCAGCCTTCAACTTCAGCTGAGAAGGCACAGAGAATATCAAGTAACACAGATGGAAGATTCTTCTGACAGCAGTAGTCCAATTCTAACCCATTAATCACTGAGAGTATGTGGAGACTGTTCAGATAGTCGGGTTCTGTTCTAATTTCCGTCTGTGTTGCTCACTTCTCTCCAACTTCTGCACCCGCCTCTCCAAACACCTGAGACTGCGCCTAATGCCCCATGGCTCATAATTACTCTCCATAAGTTTTCATCCATTAGACCTCTGAGAATGCCCCTGATCTTAAGTCTACATTTAGATGCTTTGTGTTGGTGCTTCTCCAACTGGGGTCAGCATAATCAATCAAAAACTGTGTCTTACTGCAAATAGGCAGTCTCTGCTAGTCTAGTTGTGTTTTTATTTAACCATTCATTTCATGAGTGCTGCCACCATAATTGCCTGTGCTGTGTCACGCAGAAAACACAAAAAATGACCTCTGGAGGATATATGGGGTTGTTCTTTAGACTTTTGCATTGAATGTTGCACTTTGGAGCAACAAATAAAACATAAAAGCATTTTTTATGTTTTTCTTTTGATAGTTTTGGTTAAATCTTCCCTTATTTCTCGTAACCACTCTAAGATTTTTGCTTTCACATCTGTGTTGCTTCATTTGTGGAGACATTTGAATGTAGAAGTCATTCTTACCCGACATGACATGACATGACCAATGGATTTTTTAAACATCATTTTGCTTTTGACTGCAACATAAATTCTCTTCCTCCCTCATAGTGAGGCAGTGGAAGATATATTGAGGAGAGGAGCAGATTAAACATTTATATGCATGGGGACTATACTTGAAAATGTAGAGCTTTCTATAATGTTATTGAGCCGAACCTTCTTTTTTGAGGACAGAATTTATTAATTCATTGTTAAACTTGAAAATAATCAACAAACCTGAAATCAAAAGTCAACGACTTAACCCTTAAATTCATTGTTTGATTTGAATCCTAGTGTTCTAGCATAAAGGATACCGAGAGAAAATGAAAAAGATCTTGCATTATTCTCTTGTTTCTACAACATGTGCTGCATTTCACCCTACAGTATGCATGTTGTATTCTGCCACTGATACCATGAATAATCTATTATGTTCTTTAGTGCATTTGTGCTCCAGGGTGGATTGGAGAGTTTTGCCAATATGTGGGTGATGCCTGCATGATGCAACCAGGCCGCTGTTTGAATGGCGCCACATGCATCACGACAAGTCAACCATCATCTCCCCCTCAGCACATCTGTAAATGTCCTCTTGGTTTCACAGGTGAGATATGCTTGCCACATTAGCACTTTTCCTCCTGTCCTGTGACATTATTTGTATGCAACAAAAAAATTAGACATCACAGAGATGGTTTACCTGGTGCACCTGATTGTTGGGCCGCCAAGTAACCATTTACTGCATAGACATTTACAGAAATAATACAATTGCACATTTATTGGACGGCTTCTTGTGAAGAACTTAACTAAACTGCACATTTTCTGCACGACTGCATTTGGAAACTGGTTCCTGGTGTTGCTACCATATAGAAAACCAATAAAAACTAAGTCAAGTCAAATTGTGCTGAGTTGGTATTAGTGGGAAAGGTTTAGTTAACAGGCTACAAATTTCATTAAACAGTGGCCTCTCACTACCAGTGAAGCTCCAGTGTTTATCATGTAAAGTAACAGAAAAAGGTAAGTCTAATGCAAACGCTAACAAGGCTAATGTTGATTACCATTTGCTTCCTCCTTTGAAGAGGAAAAATGAACACTCACACACTTTCTTTTTGTCAGAAGGCTTTGAAATGTTACTATGGACCCTCTCTGTTTGACTGATTTAGAATAAAAATAGAATAAAGCATGGGTTTCTGTTGTCTCAAGGACTAGATATTCATATTTGACCTCTGATCCATCCAACAGGGTGCAAGAATAAGAACACAAGTATCTATAATGCTCTTTACATTTCTCATTTTTAGTTATATTGGCTTGTTATTCAATCTCATTACTTCATCATGAATAGCCTTGAGGCAAACATTTTCGGTTGTCTTAATCCAAACAGATGTGCACAGAAACTGGCATTTACTGCTTGAAAGATGAGTAAATTAATAGTAAAGTCTGTAGACAGAGCCAGAAATCTGTGGGAAGTGAGCAAACAGCCCTATACTGTAAGCATAGGCCTGTTCTGTTTATGAAAATATATTTTTCTTAACCTTGAATCTTTTTTTACCAGTAGCCTTGCCTGCTTGACATTTCTAAGGCCTGCAGCTGATTGCATTTTAATCCAAGTCCTATGGCAAACTCCTTCCTAATTAGCTGCCAGCTGAGAACATGGGTGAAAGTTGTTAAGCTGTCAGTGATGGTGGTTTAAAAAAGACAACAAAAAAATAAGAGACATTTCAGAAAATGAAGTAATTAGTTTTATTCACTATACTTTAAGAGATTGAACAAATTACCAGAAACTATCAATAGCATTTATTGTTGTAGTTGTTTATTTTTTAACCATTTTTACAATATTCCTTCATGTGCTCTGTGACTTTTGTGACAGGCTGATTTTTTTTTTTTTTGTTGAAAAAAAAAAGTTGTTATACCTTGTCCACCCAGAGTTTATTTCTGTCTTTTCCTATTCCCCATTTTTGCCACATACCTTTCAGATAGAGGTAGTCGTTGATTGTTTTTAAATTATTTTGGAGGGTATTGAGGTTATTTTGTGAACCCTATAGGAGAGTTAAATTATTTACGCCATTCAGAGCTGTGACAGTGCTGAGTAACAGAGGATCATGTATCAAGCTTTTTTTTTTTCCACCCAGTGCTCTCAGATTTTGGTCAATAGTGAGCTGCACAATCTAACCTTAAGTCCTGACACACTCTGCTGTCAATCACATAAGCTCTTACATAGCACTACATGGACACGTTTTTTTTCCTCTCTTTTTTTGTAGTTCAAAGCTGAACACTTCAGTAATGGAAAATTGTCTCTTACACCATGGCACTTCTTAGTGACTGATAGAATTCATCATTTCTTGGCATCTTGGGATTTCTGCTTTGGAATTTCAAGCCATGCAGCACAGAAGGGCCATTTTAATTCATGCTTTGCTCAGAAACCCCGCTGTACTCCACAGCAATAGAGTTTTCCTTTTGAAATGTTTCATGTTTGTCTAACAGAACAATTAGAAATGACTTTAAATTGGACTGTTACCTAAAATATTTTCATTGCATAAAAATTATATTCATGAGTTTTCTTTTAAGAGAAAACTGTAACAGACTGCATGAGGAGAGAACAACACCCCTGCATGAGACACTTGGCCTACAAATAATGGTAAATGGTCCATGGACAGCATTTGCAAAGCCCCCTCTACCTCTTTTTCTCGAACTGCTTTATGCTGCTACCCAAATTAGATTAATGGACAGCCCGTTCCAGCTCAGTCACAGCTACTCTTATAGATTTTAGTGGTCTTTCAGAACCTTTTATGATAAATAATGGTGATATATGGAAGTGAAAAATGCTTGATGGTTGAATATACATATTACACACTGCTATGTATTGCTGTGATTTTGCCTTTTAAAAAAATGTCATATTGCCTACTATTTGTAGAAACGTTCAATGATCTGCATAAATCTGATGGCCATAAATAATTATGGGCATTCCCAATATCCTAATAGGACAAATGTATGTTCTTTGGTGCTGCTCAGGTTGGCATGTCTGGTGTATAATTACCTGTAGCGACCACAGGGCAGAGGATATCAATCATAGTGTTTATGCTGGAGCATGAAGCTGCTGCTGTCAAGAATGGGCTTTCAATACATGTCTTTGCTGCGCCGTTATTGATGATAAGACATTTTAAATTGATAACCAGCGTGAGACGACACCCACCCCCAACCACAGCAGTAAAACCAGCATCTGCTGAGAAAGCTGACATCACTCTTCCCTACTTGGTACGAAAGTACTGCTCATCGAGTATCCATTTTCATAACAACAAAGTGTAGCTCATCCAATCAGGGTTACATGATCTCTCTATTCATATATGGATTTGCATATTCTTTGTGGTGCTTCTCATTTGGACAGTATTAAAATAAAATGTTTGCAGTGAAATGATTGTCCTTTAAGCAATAATTGATTTCCTTAGCTCTGAATATGACATTACAACCAGCCACTTGGCTATGTATAAAGAATGAATGATGACAGAATGACTAGTCTGGCTGTGCAGAATCTTCATGAACACATCTGCCACCAACATCTGTCATGTCATTAGTTGTTTAACTGAATTAGCAACAGTAAAGACATTGTTTTGTTACTCATTACGGAAGTTTAAATCTTTTTTTGCCCTCAAAACCAAAAAGCATGCATCTGGTTTTGAACCTTTGTCAGAATTTATAGTTATGGGGCATAAAGAGTTCTGTTAAGTAAAGATAGTGATGAAATAGAAATGCTGCCGTCTGCTTAACTTTTGTTAACCTCTTTTTCTCAGGAGCAACGTGTGAGACTGAGATCAACGAGTGTAACTCCAGCCCCTGTCAGCACAATGGCACATGCTCTGACTTGCTTGGAGACTATAAGTGCCAGTGCCCTGCAGGTATGTTGGGCTATGTCCAAAACAAGAGCTTTGCAATAACGTTTAAGTGATATTAGCTGTGGCAGCAGGTGGGATTGTAGACCTTTTCAGAGTGTCTGCAGTGAATGTTGCTTAAGATCCTCAGCCAGAGCCCCTCCGGCCATTTCAGTATATACTGAGCACCAAAGGTGATTAGCTTTCGCTAGCAGAGTCCACGCGCTGTGTCACATTCTGCCTGAGGACGTTAAACTGGAGCCTGCTTGATTTCATTTGCGTTTGTTTTGTTTTTTTCCCCTCTTATTCCCTGCTTATTAAAATATGTTCTACATCCTCGAGTTGTTTTGTGTTTACCATTGTTAACCTATGTGATCTTAGGTTTTACTTGTCTAGTCACATTTTAATAAAGCACTCTGATGTTTTCAGCTCTCAAAAAGAGACATTTTAAAGAGCTGTCTTTGCAGCATGCATCTGATTATGCTCTGTTTCACATTAAAGAAGAAACAACTCACTGCCGTATCCTTCATAACATTATTCATACTATCAGATTACTGTCTTGGCCTGTGACTGACAGCTGATAAACAACATCAGCCTCATTGCCAGACCTTGAAAACGCAACCAAATAGCCCAGATATTGTGTTATAAAATTTCTATTAAGGTAATTTTACTGTAATTGCTTTTTGCGACTCCCCTGTTGAGTCTGAATTTACATTTACTGAATGTAAACTGATTGATGATGTAGGCGTGCATTCAGTTGTTGGCATGGCCCAGTTTGTGTGTCTGGAAATTGCTCTTACCCACTTAACTGGAACATTTTACTGCACATAGAGACCAAAGACGTAGAGCATCTTTCTGTCCAGGTGTTGTTTTTCTCAACAGAATTTGCTCTTGTTATTTTTAGCTTCTACTCTCTGCTAAAGTTTTCAACTCTTTAGGGGATTCTAACACTGAAGTTAATGAAACTCTGTTTATTCACTTTTGTTTAATTAAACCTTTAAGCACAACACTGGTGTTCAGGTCACAGTTTGCTCGTCTTATCATTTGATGAGGCAAGGCACATTAGAGTCAGTGTTTAGGGGTGGCATTGTATTTTCATCAACTGATGAGCTGTGCCGGCCCTATCTAAAGCAGTATGCATGTTTGAAAGACTTTGAAAGATGGCTTAAAATGTTATTGAGACATCCATTTCTGGCAGCACATTTTCTCCTCAGGGTTTCGAAGAGCTGATGACTCTCAGTTCAGTTCAATTGAGTTTGCTATAATAGCCACTAACAGACTGATAGAATCAGGCTGTGGTAGTTGACAGTTGTGGAATAGTTCCAGCACAAACATATAGACATTACAATACTATGCACTGTAGACCAGTACTATCAGTACATCAGGTCATAATAGCACAAAGATATTTATGCATACACAGACAGGCACAATTACATAAGCATGCATGTGGTGAGCTGCAAGACCTGGACACAACAGCATGATGTGAGAGCTCACAAACAGAAAAACAAAGTCATACCTACAGGGAATTTACAGTTTCCACTTCACTTCACAGTCTTTGGAGTTTGTCCACTAGAGGAAAACTTTGCTGCTTGAAGTTTGAAGCCAAGACCCTCTAAATGGCAGTTATATAATAGTAAGTTATGTCAAATCTACTGTGAAGATAGCTAATATAACACTTTCTCATTTAAATCCTTTCAAGCAAATCCTACTTTAGTAAAATACTGACCAGAAAAAAAGAAAAACATACCATTAAATGGTCTACATTTTTTCTTCTTTGTGATCTTAATGATTCCTATGTTCATTCTCTGTACAGCAATTAGAGTGAAGCTAAAGGCAGATTTAAGGGTTCCACCAGTGTGGATGTTTTTCTTCTTAATGCTCCTTTTTAAACACACCAATTTTAAAAAGGCTTTTTCCTCATGCTTTGTGGGTGAGCAGCCCTGTGGGAACCTGGCTGGCTGTGATGTTTGAAGGGAAAGGGGTTGGGTTTTTGGTTTTGTCGTTGAGGTTATCGTGAGTGAGAACCTCCCATCACAGATGTCAAGTTGAAATGGACCCATGACACCCCAGAGGGCTCAACAGTTACCGTGCAACCACCCCCATTACACCTGCTCTGTGCACTGATATGGCCTCTGTTCATCCACCTCGTATTGTCCTCAGCTCGGACACCAATAGATTCCAAATTTGGCCCAAACCATTCATTAAATTATTAAAAATATGTGAGGTTGTTTTAAAAACTCTTTTTAGCTGCTGACTTATCAGTGAGTTTTTAATGATCTCTTACTTTGAATCTGAGGAACTTGGCACAAAACTGAGCCTTTTTTTGTGGTTTTCTCTTAAACTTCCCATGCAGTCTATGGTGATCCATGAATGTGAAAACCAAAATTCGTGAAGGACCTGGTTGTAGATGTGGTCATAAATTACAAAATTTCACAGGGTGTACTTAGACATACCAGCAGTGCTCCCAAATCTAATCAGTTATCTATGAAAACCTAAGCATCAGTATAGTATGTTAAATGATTATTTGATTGATATCAGATACTATTTCGTTTTACTAGGTTGTCTTTTTGAGCAAGGGAAATGTTTACATGTTCAGTTAATGGCAAATGTACAGTAATAAAGCAGCAACAAAATACTGGAGTTATTCTAATTTTTTTACTTTTTTTATACTGCAATTGTAATACTTCATGTTGCTTTCTTTTAATAACAACTCAGTCCAAATTTATGCTATTTTCATTAAGGCAATCAATATTATTGCCCAAATAAATAAATCCCCCTGAGTTGGAGAATATTGATGTACAATATTGATATACTGATTATATTTCACAGTAATGTAGAGGAATATCAGCAGATTGGTAAAAATCATATGAACGAGCATGGAATCATGAGAGATCAAAAGAGAAGTTGGGTTTAGTGTAAAACACGTGTGATGCTCAGACGTCTGTATTACCCCAGTTTTATTCCAAACTGTACAGTTGTAAGTACGAGCCCAGACTATTTTTCTGATAGCTGCAGCAATAATATTCTTATTTTGGATACTTCCCAAATGTAATTACTAAAGGTAAGGTCTTGAATGCAGATGAACCAGTAAATCAAAAGCTTCTCCCTTTGGCTTGGCTCCTTTTTACCCACAACAGACCAGTTCAGCAGCATCATTGCAACTGACAACCTCCATTTCTTTCTCTCCATCTTTTGCTGGATATTTCAACCATCATTAAGACCAGAACTCATTGTTGCTGAATGGCACATGTCAAAACAGATGTTCCTGTTATTTTCTATAATCTCCTACTCCAGTAACAACTTTATCAAATTAACATCATCTATTTAATGCAGATCTGTGTCGTTTATATTTGAAAAATTGAAAAAGACAGATCGAACATTGAGCTTGAGAAATAACCAGTGCTATACAGCACACATGTTTGTCATTAAATCCTGTCAGAACTACGTCTCTTCAGGTAGGTCACCAAGGGGGCTTGGAAAAAAAGAAAAACTCACTGATGGTACGGAGAGCCTTGAGATACTCAAGCTTGGCGAACATGTGTCCTTGGTCCAGGACAGCCCCATTGGAGTTGCAGATGGGATTTATTTTTCTAGTATTTTCCATCTCTCAGGACTGAGACTGCAGCTTACTATTGAAAAGCAGGCTCTGACTGTTGTTTGAACCTCAGATAAAAGAGTCACATTGTGTTTTTGTCCAGGTCATGAAGTTTAGACAACTTCTATATTTTGCTAAAAATACTGCATTGCAGTATAAAAACCTTATCCCATCTGTTGTTAGTTTTATTTCTGCTTTTACTTATCAATGTGGTGACATCTAAATGCACAACACTTTGGAGATCAAGACAAATTTTCCCATCAGGGACGGTAAAGTGTATCGTATCATATCTGCAAAAAATATGCCCTGTTTTGCTGCTGGGCCAGAATGGCTTGTCATCGTTAGTTGCACAATAAATTCTGTGTTCCTGTGGCAAACTGATAAAAAAAAAATGTAATCAAATTTATCATAAATAAAAAGATTCAATTAAAAAATACCATAAAAGGCTACTATAGTGTCAAGGCTGAAAGCCACTTCAAACAAAGTAATTTCCTATAACTCAACCAAATTCTCTATTTCTTTACTCATTCTCATGTAATAGTACAGCATTTTCTCAAATCTTGAACTTGCATAATATTTTTGGCACATGAGTTTGACCAGATATTTTTTTTTATCTAAGGTTACGAAGTTCAAAAATCTTATATTTTTGTTATTGTGTAAATATAGTCTTCCCAGTGTTTGTTGCAACCCTGCATGAAAGAGAATAAAAGGCGAGATGCAGAACCAGATGAAAGGTTGTTGTTTTTTATTCTTATAAAAAAAAAAAAGCATAGCATTTGTGTTTGCCTCTTCAATCTTTAATGAAGAGATAGATTTAGGTTTCCATTTCTTACAAATTCAGGGGCCCACAGAAGTTTAGTTAATCTGCTTCAGAATGGGGCCAATTCTCGGTAGACCCTCGGCTGGGGCAGTTTCGCCCCTCTTTATAAAATGTATAAAATACCTGACTTGGCACATAACTCTAAATTACTAGTGGCAGCGATTACAGTTTTATTATTTTTTTCCTGTTTTTGTATTTAATCTTTTCTATAACATATGCTTTATTTTGTGTACCAGGTTTTCAGGGGAAGAACTGTGAACTTGACATAGATGCCTGTGCCCTGCCTGACAGCATATGTCCACCGTCTACTCAGTGTTTGGATCTCCCGGAGGAGCTGGAATATGCCTGTCGTGTACCCTGTCCTCAAAGCCTTCAAGTGGGTAAAAAAGTATTTTGTTCTTTTACATTCTACACTTTTACTATTTTACTACTACATGCAACCCCCAGGTTTCAGCACCAGGGAATCTATATGACAAAAGAGTTATGGATCTATTTATGTAATTCTTTTCTTTTTTGAAGTTGTTAATGCGTATTCACTAAATCAATTATCCATTATCTGCAGTATTTAAGTTGTATGGTTATATATCAGTATCAACAGTTGCCAGATATCAAGTCTTCTGCCAAAGCCAATGCTTGACATTACAATTTTTCCCCAAAAGAGTTCTCCACCTAAATGGGTTGTTTTCCATTTTCCCATTAGTCAAACCTGCTACCAAGTCTAATAAAAGTAAGCTTTTGGGTTAACAAATGAACGGACCAAAACAACTGGGGAATGTGTATTTCCAATTTGACTTAAAGGTGCACATATAACAGGTTTTAAGGTTAAATCCAGTCTCTAAATTGTTTTTGGAAGCCTTAAAAGGCTTCTGGTGGAGTTGGCAGTATGTTTTTGTTTTCTAAAAGCTAAATTTTTGGCTGTATATTTTGGGCTCACAAAGAGATGACAGTGGTATAACAATCCCAAATAGGATGATAATCAAATATGTGTAAACTCATTCATGATTTATTTGATATTCACATGGAACTGGAAACGGTCAATAATCCATGAAAATAAATGACTGAATATAGGCATTTACATATTTTATGCAGTACGTACACGTTTTTATATTTACATAACTTGGATATATCTGTGAAATCATGATATAAGAAAAAGGGAACAACTGGAATTTGTCGTGCATTTGTCAGGATTTTTTAATACGGTCAGCCTAATGATAGAAGTTCATTAGACCGAAAATACCTGCTGCCACTTGATGCAGAAGAGCACTACAAAAGATTTTGAGTATGTATTTTTGAATATGCCAGTTTTATGAATTCCTTACCTGCCCCTAGTAAAAGGAGGGGGAAAAAACACAAACCTGAAAAGAAGGTCTACTTCAATGTCAGGTGTATACAACTGCCCAGTGTGAACCAAGGCTTTTATCGGCCCCAGCACAGAAAGGCAATGATGTTTGTATTCAATGCTCTCCCACAAGCCAGCTCTTTTTTATTCCCTTTGTTTCCTCTCTGTATAAATGAAGCAGCTATCAGCCCTATCTGTTTTGTTACAAAGCTCTTGGGAGCGTCTGCTCTCAATGACCATTGATCTTGTCTTGTAGGACATGATGTAGGTGCTTCATGGAATATAAAGCATGAATTGGCATTTGTCATTTTGTCATATGGCTGTAATTAAGCTCATTTTCAGACAGCCAGGAGTAAAACACAATTAGGCATTTCATTGTGAGAAAAACCTAGGTTTCTGACAGAGTATGTTGAGTGCAATTTGAAACATTGCAATGCAAAGTGAAGTGGTTTAATTTGCATCTCTGATTCTGTGAAGCACAACTCTGCCCACTGTCTTTTTTTTCCTTTTTCAGTCGCTTTGTGCCAATGGGGGGAGTTGTGTGCTGCATGATTCCAGTAGCTACATCTGCATCTGTACCCGCGGCTGGTCTGGTCAGAACTGTCTTACAAATATCAACAATTGTATGCGACACTGGTGTCAAAATGGAGCCACTTGTGTGGATAAGATTGATGGCTACAGGTCGGTGTTTAAGTCTTGATTGTCTTCAGGCTATTCTAGCACCAGAATGTCAATGATTGTAAAAGCTGTGACATTTACCGCTCCCCCTTTAGGGTTGAAAGAATTCTTCTTACTCTCTGCACTATTAAGAAATTCTCTTCAATCTGTCACCAGCTGCCTTTGTCCCAGCGGATACACGGGGGTCTACTGCGAGGAGGACATTGATTACTGTGTCGGCCATGGCTGCTCTGAACATGGCATTTGCCTGGACCAGCAGCATAACTTCACCTGCCGCTGCATGCTTGGATTTGAGGGACCACTTTGTGAAGTGGAAGCAAATGAGTGCACCAGCTTCCCCTGCTCGAGTGGTGCCACCTGTGTGGACCTAATCAGTGATTATCGGTGCCACTGTCCCCCGGGGTTTGAGGGTATGAGACCATCTGATATGAATCCGAGCCCATTTTCCAGCCATTAGTACAGCCAGCCACTGGAGTACCAATTTTCAGTGGAGGCTTTGTTGTTTGAAAGAAAGTCTGATGAAGCTGAAATGGCATTTGAGGAAGTTCTGCCTAACGAGAAATATATACACCCAGACATGTAGAATAAAATGATGGAGTAAAAGCAATTAGAGATGACCTGATTGCATTAAACCTTTTTATTGCATTACCATGACATCTTGCCCTAGAAATAAGAAGTTATAATAAACTACTCTCAGTTTACTTGGAAACCAACCAGAAGCCTGGAATATTCCATAGTTGATCTTCGACATGAGTTATGTGAATACCTAAACTGAGGAGAGATAATCTAAAATGTTCTTTGGCTTCAAGTATAGTCAGCAGTTATCTTAATTATGTGAATTCCTTCTTGTTCTTGATTAATAGATCCCTTGCCAATTTGTGGGGTCATAGTGGTAAAAACTCAACTTGCTTTGGTGAAGCTAGCAGGAAAGATAGAAGAGCAGTGCCCTCTGTCTCGCAGAGAGCTTGGAGGTCTGAAATATAGCCGGAGGCCGGAGCTGGTAGAGCTTTAAATTTTGTCAGTAAAGTCCTTAATCAATTCTGTATCCTAACTCTTGCCTAGAGGATACTAAAACAGAGCGTGCTCCATTTATGAACATGTACAAGCTGACATATGACCCTGTTTTTGTTTAACCACATCTTGTATGAAGAATCAAAATTGATTAGTGGCCTCATTTTTTAAGGATTTAAAAAATATATATATTCTGAAGGTTGTGGATACAAATGCCACTTGACAGTAATCATTCAAGTTCCATAGCACCAGCAACACCTTTGTAGAATCATTTATCGGCTGGAATTCCCTTAACAGAGTTTCTTTGTTTCTCACCTTTTATATTCCAGGAAAGACCTGCTCTCAGAATGTAAATGACTGTTGGTCGCAGCCATGTCTAAATGGAGGCTCGTGTATAGATCTGATAAATGACTACATTTGTCACTGTCCTCTCGGTAAGTAGCATCTACTTCTGTATTATTGAGCATGTTTACAAAAATATCATGCCATTAATTTTCTGTGCCCTGTGTCTCGGGAATACATGAAACGTTTATTTCTCACGCAACTTGTTTGTTTCCTTTGATGATTTTTCACTTTATCTTTAATATGCTCTTCCTAAAATAGTAAAGAAAGAAATGTGGATTTTCAAGAGTTGTTGCAGTTTGAATGTGAGCTCTTGAAAAGGATCTGTATGGCAGAAAAAAGATGAAGCAGAGGATTTTTACAATGGATTATTCTTATAACATCTGAGCTTTCTTAAAAAGTTCAGTTGAATGTCAGTATTAGTGTAAATAAAATGTAGGGAAACGGTTGTTTTTTTTCTTTTAATCACATTACTCAAAAAAGGAATTCAAGCATGATTCAAACCTTTTTTATCCACTTTGTTCTTCAATCAAGTCACAACCTGTTTTACAAATGGGTACACATTTGATAATTGTTTATTACGCACATTTCGGTCTGAATCCATAATCAGGCCATAATAGAAGAAGGTGTGACATTCCTTTGTGTGTAGCTGATTTTACTATGCCCCCTGGTAATAAGATGCTTAATCACCCCTTGATTGCAAAAGTCATGCTGCAGCAGCTCTAAACAGCCACAATCCACAGAACAGAATTTTCAGACAAATATTTGAATAAAACCCACACCATACGTTGCAGTAGCAATAAGATAGACTTGGGTATTAGTCCACCTATTAGATTTATTGAATGATTTTCTTCATATATGTACAAAACACGCACAGTCATTATTTAGTGTACCCTCAAATATTTAGCTGTTTAGATCTGAGTAAGGCTTCACAAAGAGAGCCACGTGTGACATGGTGTGTGAGTGTTTGTGTTTTTTCCACTATTATGGACACATAAAATGCTCCACAGTAAATCATCTGCTCTTAGTTTTTTCTACCTTTCACTCCAATTCGATTTGCTCAGAAACAGAACACCAATGTGTGAGCAAAGCTTCCATTACTGTTTTGATTTCACTGACAGATTTACAAACAGGTGTTTTTGATCGGCTGTGTCCTCTCAGAAATCCAATTAGACAAATGGTCTGCCAAGTTCACGTGCACCTCCCCGGGTAAAGATGACTGTTTTTTCACTATGTTCAGACTCTTCCTGCCACTGTCTTCTGTTCGCAGCCCGGATGCAGAATCCTATGCCCATATTCTGATATGTTTCTTTTAATCCCTACTTTGTTTTTCCCCCTTTAAGTTTTCATGTCTGAAACTACACTGGAAATAGACTACAAAGCGTTCAAGGTTTAATTCAGCCAAGGTTACAGAATCCACTTGTTCGTTTTTTTTTTTACACAGAAAAAAAAAAGTTGGATCTGCATCAAAACGCATACTGATTGGCAGTTGTGCTTGTTAGTAGACACCAACCTTGGCTTTTGGGAAATACACCAATGCCTTAACAGTCTCAGTATCATGACTGATTGATGAAAGATTGCCCTGGTGCCAGTTATTGTGCCTACGTTTTGCAGCCTGGCACACAGTATTTTTCTATAGCTACTAAATAATCTTAGCAAAGCTGATGTAGCTGTTGATTGCAGCATATTATCTGTAGTTAAATAAGTGTTTCTCATAATTCAAGGAAAAACTAAAAGGCTTCGATGAATGGTATTGCCCTAGACAATTTGCATTAACACTGTGATAAACATCTAACAAATGGATTTTTTAGCGTAGGCCGTTAAGAACTCCAGTCATTTCTATGTTTATAGTCACTCATGAAGGCTTTTCCAAAGTATATTATACAAGATTCCATATGTCTTTAGAGTTTGAGGAAAAATAGAAGAACAGTATGACGTCATCTCTTTTTCACCGCAGTAGAACTGGAATAAACCACCAGTGGCTAAGGGGACTCCCATTTGGAGATGGAGCACTGTAAATGTGACATTCCTTCATGCAACATTAAGCTCAGAGTGCATCGCATGCACAATTGGTTATTAAACACTTCTGAATCACGCTATTGCTGTCCATTTACCTGTCAAGGAAATACATGGTATAATGGGAAAAGGGTAGCTGGAAGGTCATCAAACATCCAGGTAGATGTGATGCAAAGTAAGCTGCTCAGGACTTAGTTACAATGTAATAAAATGTAATGTACGCCCAGCTAAATGTACCACATAATGTAATATGACAGTTTTGTATGTGTAATGTCTCAAATCTTAGAAAAGACATTTGAAAGCATGCGATTTGACTTAGCAGATTTGGAAACTGTATGATCTTTCTTCCTGAGTCAGAACATTTTGTTGTTACGCAATTTAGCTGGTAGCAATTCTACTGATATGGCAGCTATTGTGAAAATCACAGTTTAAAGTTAAGTCCCATCCCATTTCTTTTGCCCTCCAAATTACAAACGCATTTGTAACAGCGGGACTGGAGGACCATAACAAAAGCATGGTGGGTGTAGTAAAACTCATGGAGTAAATGATAGAACAGATAAGCTGTTTGAACATTACCATTAATCTCCATTCTGTTGTTTATGAGCTGAGCACATTTAGCCAATCAGAAACACTCATTCACGGAATAATAATTAAATAGTCTTAGCTGAAAGTAATACATTTGAACTCTAACATTTCCAAGCAGACTTAAAAGACAGTATTTTTGATTTCATAAACACTTGGTATAGAATTACTCATAAATGATTAATAAAGTAATTGATGTTTTGCTACCTTTGGGCCTCTTATGGATTTTGCTGCTGTAGTTAACCACAAGGAGCTGAAGGTTACTGAAAGCAGGAAGCAACTAACCAACACCGCTGAGTGTATGTGGGTCACAGTGATACCCGTCTTTTCACACTGTACATATGTCCACACACATTCTCCTTCCTGTCAATTCCGTCAGGTTTAGTCTTTTTTGATGAGCCTCAAGACTCCTTATCCTGATCATAGCATTCATGAGCAGACATACACGTTACTTCTCCCTGTATGTCCATTTCCCGTTTGTCACTCAGCCTCGCACTCTCAACTCTGTTTCCCTGTCGACATTCTGCTCAATTTGTCACACGGGGGCAGAAAGCATGAAATAAATGTTAATCGATAATTAAGCACATCTCCGTATTCCCTTTTTTCTGATGCGTGACTGAATGAGATGAGATCTGCTTGATCACTGTTGTTTTCACTGATGCGTCCAGTAATTTACTGTACAGTCGTTGTTATATGCAACTAATTGTTTTTAGGTGAATCAAGCTTGTACAAATGTGCACAGTTTCACAAGGTCTGCACGCACTGATATCCATTCTCCAGTAAAATCTCCTTCGTTGTTATTTCCTTTCATACAGAATCAGTCATGGTTTTACATTGTCAGACAGTGAATTAGGCTAAAACTTATAGGATTACAGTGGTTAATAACTAAAACAGAAGTTCTTCTTCTGTAGTTAGAAACGTGCTATGCAAATAGAGCCAATATGAACTGATAGAAAGTGTCAAATACAGGTCCTCGTGAATTCGATCCACACGGCGTAATGAGTAAAGATTTTTATTGTGTGTTGTCAGTCAAAAAGAAACAAAAACAAAACATTCTATTTGAGTTAGATTAGAGATCAATCATACAGTACCATCTGTCTGTGCTTTATTTCTAACTATAGATATTGAGTTTTGGATTTATCGATGGCATGCAGACATGCATCTTGTGTGCTAGATAAATGTAATAAAGATCAGTATGCTATTGTAGGCTGCTGCCAATGATTCAGTCAATTAGCATAGTGCATAGCAGGTAGATTGTAAGGGCAAGAATCAATATTCTGTTAATCTGCTGAGAAAAATACAGCCATTTGGCCATAAACATACATTGCACACTGTGTTGCCATTACATGATTATTTCAGTCTTCTTGGCTTGATTCCAAGTCTTTGCTGAATTTTCTTTTCCGATTATTAACGCAGTGCTGTTTTCAGGATTCAAGTGGAAAAAGTGCTCTATGGATGTTGACCTTTGTCTCTTAGGACTGTGCAGTGAACACACAGGTCATGGTCCTGGTCTCGGTGATATACACTGAGACCAGGGAAGAAAATAATGTTTCTTTCAAACATGAAAGAAGTGAACAAACACAATAACTGTGTCAAAAGGGCCCATGGTGAGATTAATATGATTTATATTTTGTCTGGCTTGACAAAGTTTCTTTTTCAGAAGGCAACAAATAATTTACTGCTAAACTAGCTTCGATCCATCTTTTTATGTTCTTTTTTGTTCATACTACTATGTAAAAATCCCCCATTGCTATTGTTCTGAGTAACAGATATTTTTTTTTCTGTAGATTTCCATCCTTGATACGAATCTTACCATTTAATGATACATGGCATGGTAATGAGTGGAATAAGCCTGGTAAATGCTATGAAGTATTGAGGCTTCATGACTGTCAATGCCTTACGTGTCAGAATATGCAGTGAAAAATCATGCAGCTCATTCCTGGATGCAGCCATGGAACTGGAACTAAAAACATTTTGCTTGCCACACCAGGAATAATTCAGTAATCTCTGCTCCTCAGCAGCTCTTGCATCTCTTTTCAAATAAATAGCTATTCCACAGAAGTTCATGTAAGGTAATCAATAACTGTGACATCATTACTCGTGTTGCATTTATGCTCGGCAGATGTCAAAGTGAAGGATTGTGAGTGATTTCTTATGTAAATGAAAGTTACCTGCGGTGTGCTGCACTCTCCAGATCACTTCTCAAGGGCAAACTGTGAGTTGTCCTGTTTCGGTTTTTCTGGTCAGCACTCCCTGCTTCCATGTTTTATAATCTTTGCCAACTTAAGGTGCTGCTAAACATGTTACCAACACCCTTCTTAATTTTAATACAAATCCAATGTTTGATAATATGCAAGAGTTACATTAAATATGTCATGATATAATGAGGAATACAATTCTGTCAAACAACAGATTATCAGGCTGGTAATGTAGACAAGAAATAAATGATTTCTGTTCTAATAATTTTTTTATCAAAAGCAGAGACACTTTGTCATTCAGCGGGATTTTACAGTTTTTTGTTTGTTTTTGCTTCCTTTTTTGCATATTACTATTGTTATTTTAAAGGGAAATTTGCTCACTCTACAAAAAGACAGATGGCTCTGATTTTTGTTTTTTGGGAAAATTGCCTCCAAGAGCTTGCTCAGTTGTAACCTGGCTGGCTGTGTGAGGCCTCATATTGCATATATATAAACAAGTGCTCTTTTGTGTGAGGTTAACCCACTTGCAGCTTCTTTAGCATCACCACTAATGTGCCTTAAATACTACTGTGTGTTCTCTTTATAGTGGCCGATGTGGCCTGAGTGAATACCTGGCTATTATTGTTCTGTACCTGCATTATTTTTTCGTATGAACCTCTTTGTGTATAGATTGACATTGATTAAAAAGATCACGGGATTTGGACTGTTTAATGTAATAAATCAGAAGGGCAATGACTGGCCCTTATTAAACATGATTAAATGATCCAGTGAGCTGAGGCTGCCTGTTCTCAGCAAGCTCTTTGAATCAATACACGCTTTGAAAAGCAGCTTCTGTTTGTGAAAACAAAGTCATGCTGATCCTAATTGGCTAAGGAATGAAACCAGGCGTAAAAGATTCCAATAACAAATTTCTTTCCTTTTTTTCCCTTTTTTTGTCCCTAGGGTTTGAGGGGTTACTTTGTGAAGTCGATCTCAATGAGTGCGAGTCAAAACCATGCCTGAATGGTGGCATTTGTGTGGATGGCATTGACCTCTATCAGTGCTTGTGCTCAGAGGGTAAGTTGCAATGCAATTACATCCACCGGTGCTTGAAGTGATATGGTTTTGTGGCTAATTCAGATCTACTCAAAAGTTTCTGAGTGTGCAACTTACTGATTTTTTTTTCTTTTTATCTCAAAAATGACACAATGGATTAAATGAAATAACTATTTTCATATACTTTCACTCATTTGATTTCCATTAATTTGTTTTTACTCGCCTGCATTAATAGTCATGTGTGTTTCAAATCAAACAGTTCTGGGTACTCCCTGAGGGTAATCACTCAGTGGGTGGTGTAAGTGTGGTGTAATGGTCCTCAGAACATTGTGTTTAATTGTATGTGTTGCTTTAAGGCTCAAATATATGATCTTGGAGCTATAAGAAAACTGACATTTGGCACTAAAAGTTATATTCAATTCAAATAGTTTATGTGATTGCTTGCAAGCTACATGGGATATGTTTCCACGCAAGAGAAGTTTTTATCCACTTCTCAGTTTCTCGATTTTGAGCATGCCTGGAACAGAAAGGAACACAACAATTACTAAAAAAGGCCTAAACAAAGTCGACTCTCTACTTTTGGCTCAGATGAGCAACATATGCACCTCCACGTAATTTTCAGATCTTTAGCTTTATTAATTATATTTCTTTTTATTAATAAGCCATGATATTCATTAATGTGAGCTTGTCTGTTTATTAATGAAAGCCAAAAATCCACCAAATGGTAAGGCTTGGTTTGCTCTATATAATACTGTCAGTACTCCATTTCTTTCTATACAATATTTAAAATCAGGAATGAAGTTACAATCAATATCAATCAAGAAAGTTCAAAATACCAAAGCAGAGGTTTTTACAGAAAAAACTAACTAAACCCTGATAGGGTGCAAGTGGAGAAACTAAATAAAGGCAGGAAGGAAAATTAACAGATGTCTTTTCCAAAATCAAAGATCCAAATCCAGAACCAAAGTTTAGGAACTAAAAAAAAATGGAATGATTAAAAGGGGAAGCAAAAAAGAGTGTCAAATTTTGCAAATCATTAATGAAATATAAAATGACAAAAATAGCCTATCATCAATATGTAAGGGACCTCCTTAAAAGTTTAACAAGGTGTGTTTACATGAGACTTCATATATTATTAAAACCAGCCAATCTCTCTCCCTTTGGGTGCCTGGCGATCTCTATTTCTGTTCTGAGTCATGGCAGTTTGTCTGGTGGTGTGTGCATGTTAATGCATTCAACATTTTTTCTGACTGTCTGGACTTGGTTATAAGGACATGACTGTCTTTGGCTAAAAAGTCGTCCATATCAAGTTGTGTTTGACCACAGTAGACCATAATTCCTCAATCAGATAGATCCACAAGATATTCCAACACAGTCAAGTTTTGTTTCTCTTTTGGCTTTCCTTTGTTTAGTAGTTTCTTCTCCTCTAGTGTGACACCCATTTATTTCTTGAATTAAAATATTTCTTACACAAAGGTGATTGTTTCTCCAAATAAGTCTGGAATGAGATTTATTAAATATTTAGTTTTAAAATAAAATCAAAGCAGAAGCATATCGCAACGTGATGGAGTCTTGGGTTTTCTGTGAATTGTGAACAGTTCAATACAAGCTGCTTCTCATAACTGGTCTGGCTGCTTCAGCTTGTCCCATATATGACAGCAGATAAATGCCTTCATGCAATCTCCTGTGATGGAATCCACAAGGACTCAGTCTGACACAGGTGGAGAGGATTCGTGGTCCTTATCTACTTATTTGCCCAGTGCTATGTATTTTAATCCTAATCTCATCGATACAACCATGTGTCAGTCTGTGTTGTTGAGAATTGACAGAACTGTTTTCAGTCTGAGCCGAAGAGAAGAAACCAGTCAGTGAATGTATTTAGTTCAAATTAAATCGATAGACACTTATTAGATTAGTTTTTTACTCAAATGATGTTTTCTGCTTCGTGTCAAAATTTTCAATACACATTTTCATATATTCTGACCTATGGTCCATTACCCAGAAGGTTAACAAATATTTTCCTTGATTTTCGAGATAGCATCAGCTGATAGATACTTTCTTCATTATTGTAAAAAGAAATCAACCACCTCTATTTTTCTAATAATTTCTTGGCCCAGTTGACATCTTACCTGGGAGATATACCTCTGGCTAAACCTTGATTGCAAGTGAAGTCTGTTATGCATTATTAATGAAGTCAGGATAATTGTCAAATTTTATGACTTGGAGAGAGATGGAAATTGGTTCCATGGTCAGTTTGAGAAATGATGAGAATTTGACCTGTGCCGATGGTGCAGATAGCTAAGCATTAGTCATGGGTCTCCTGTAGCCGCGGTGTGAGACAGTGCTAATGATAGTCATTTTATAGCGTGACCATGCGGTAGAATATATTTATGGGAAGGTAAAGTGAGGGAAATTTCAGCAACAGCTTCTACTTGATGCCTTTAAACTTTGAAAAAAAATCAAACACGCAGATTAAACTTAAAATTAATTACTGAAACAAACTATTAATGATACACACAGTATGAAAAATAACTCCCCCCTCACTTTGCAGTATTAACGGTCTCCTCTCCACACTGTGCGCTTGTTAACTTGATGATGAGCTTGCAGTGAAAAGTCATGTTGGATTTGACTGCTTTGCAGTGTAATTTGATTCCAATTAGTATCTTTTCAAGTCATGTGTTTACTGACATTTACACTCTATCTCTGATGGGTTTTTTCTTTCTCCCAGGCTTTCGGGGTTTCAACTGTGAAATCAACTATGATGAATGTGTTCATGGACACTGTGCCAATAATTCCACATGTATTGACCTGGTTGCAGACTATGAGTGCATCTGTCCTTTGGGTTTTGCTGGTGAGTTCTTTTTTATATTTTTCTAGCAGTAATTAATCAGCATGTCATTGATTGATGACTTTAAGGCTGAGATGACATCCAACTATCTCCATGTCTTATATGAGAGTTCATTCACCAGCTTCAAAATAGCTTCAGTTAATCCCAGGAAAAAAGAAAAAATTCTAACATGTTTAAAAAAATTATACTTGTTTTAAAAAGGGGTGCCTGTCTCTTACTAAAACAGGGATATATTTATTGTATTATATTATGTAATGGATTTTAGTTGAGGTGGTTCAGGCGTCTGGTTAGGATGCGTCCTTGTCTCCTTCATTCGGAGATTTTCCAGAGATCTCCAACTAGGAGGTGGCCCCAGGGTGGACCAAGAACTCAAATGAAAGGATTTGATATCTCTCCTAGCCAGGAAATGCCTTGGGATCCCCAGAAGGAACTGGAAAGTGTCACTGGGTTTGTCCTTTTGAACGTATTGCCTCCATGACTGGATGTTTTTTTTATTTATCTCTTTTTATCCAGCAAAGGGAAGAATATCAATTAAAACAAAAAATACTAACAATGTATCATCAAGGTCCAGTTCACGTTCCTTTTATATCAAATGTTGTGGGGGGTTTTTCTTGGAATTAATCAAAGTGTGTTCTAATGACACAATTACTACACACACATCTCATAGCACACTAATTCCAGTGACATGCACTGACATTCAGGTGGACAGCTTGTCAATGAGATGTGTTCTGATGCTGGCGGCTGTCTTTTTTATTGTTGTTCATTTCTCTTTGTGTTTGTGTTCATGATCATTTTTTATTTTTAACACTTTAGGGAAAAACTGCTCCATCCCTGATTCTCTTTGTACATCAGAGGTAAAGTTTTGCAAGAATGGCGGAACCTGTTCCCAGAAATTATCAGGAGAAATCGAGTGTTTGTGCCCCACAGGTAGTACACGAATATTTTTATTCTCTGGATTTAATGTGTTAAAATTGGTCTTAGTTCGGTCATTTTGGTTATTCTTTGATTAGACTCCTAAGTTTCACCTGCAATATTGCCATTGTTTACTCCATAAGATTTGTATAAAGCTAAATAACTATGTTGTCTTATTGTGCAATGCAATCCTTTTTTGTAATTCTATCATTAATTTACATGTAAAAATGTATTGTTGAATACAGTGTAATCAGCAATTGCAAATTAGCCTCTTTAAAAATGCACAGTTGATGTAATACAATCTCCTTCACGCTCTTAGTGTCTAATGGTCTTGATGGATGTATGAGCCTCAAACAGCATTCTCAAAAGACACTGTCAGCATGACCGTGATTACAAATCCGTGTTTTTATCTGGATTGGGAAAGGCATGCGGATGCTGCACATGGTACGTCAATCACTTCTTTGATCCCGACTCCTACAGGATACTATGGCAAAGACTGCTCCTCATCTGTGAGTCGGTGTCTGTCAAGTCCATGCAACCCTGAAGGGACTACCCACTGTGAAGAGCTGGAAAGTACTTATACATGTGTGTGTAGTCACGGGCACACCGGTATACACTGTGAAACAGCCATAAGCCACTGTGTGGACGGCCTTTGCCAACACGGCTCATCATGTGTGGATCTATCGAGAGGATTCAGATGTGATTGTTTACCAGGTAGGTTCCCCCTTCAGCAGGGGCTTGTCTCCAATGCAGTAAAAACCTGGAGTGAATCATGTACATAGCAGACACTCTCCCAGTCTGATGCCTTCATTTGTTCAGCTTTCTTCTCTGTGGGAGTCTAATCTCTTTGGCCTTAAGCAACAACATGTAACTAATAGCTTTTATGCAGTTGTGTAAGTCAGGAGGCAGCTCATCAGGATGTGAGCTGACTTCAAAGCAAGGATGTGACGCTTAGGATCTCCACTTGTTTGTGTTTTGTCTTCGAACAGTTTACTATCGAGAAACAATGCTGATATTACACATCTTTCTTTGAAAGAAGAAATAATTTCGAGTGATCTCAAAATAATTCCTATATAGTAGTTGATAGCGCTAATGCTACATATTATTATCGGTGTATTAAATTGTTCTGGATAGATAAAAGGATGAATATTAAGTAAAACATTTAGAAAGTTGAAGTGCAGCAGAGAGGTGGGTGTGGTGGAGTTCTTCAGAGATCACCATGAATGTGTTTGGGTGATGTTTTTGTTGCTCGATATCAAAACCAATTGCTGAGTACACACACAGCATGTGCAGGTAACACAGATTAACTGTCTCAGAGGGCAGCAGAGACAGGAACTCACAGCCAGCTGTCAAACATCTGGGGTGCAAAGATGCTCCTTTTCAATGACATGTCCAGGATTTCAACATCTGTTGTTAGCAAGCACTGTAATCCTGTTTGCTTCACTGTTCCCTCTCTGTCTGCCCTCAAGTCTTTAATCTGAGTAGAAAGGTGGTAGATTTGTCAGTGGAGCTTTCTCTTGGTTAAATAGATATTCCCTCTTGACATTTCTGATTTCCTTCTTAATATCTTTGCTGTGGGTTTCTAGACTCTACCATCTTACACAATTCTCATTATGATAAAGAGAAAGAATTCTTCTAAAATCCCTCCTCACTGTTTTGTCGTAAACTAATCGGGATTTGGAGACATTACATAGACCTTGCTTAGTTCTTTTTGAAAGTAAGTCTCAAGTAGATGTGAAAAATGCAAGCTGCAACTAGTGTACGTCTTCTAAATCCTTCTAAATCCTTGTATTGCAGAACTGACAATGACTAATAGACAATGATTATTAGCGGTGTTTGTGTGAGGTGACTCTTATTTATTCACTCCTTATGTCTTTCTATTAATGAAGTGCATGTACATTTTCCTGCGTGAAGCTTTTTCTTTGACATTAAACATTTAATCGTATCTCATTGTAATGGGAAAAATAATTTGTATGGCCTGAAGAGAAAAATCATTTAATTCTCTCCACAGGTTTAACAGGCCAGTTTTGTGAGATAAACATTCACAATTGTGAGAAGGAGCCATGTGGCGTCCTAAGCATTTGTAAAGATTCTCTGAATGGCTACGACTGCTTTTGTGCGCCAGGATTCATAGGTAGGTGAAAGCTCCATGTAAATTATTTTAGGTGAGTTAAAGTGGCAATATGCTCTGTCGACATTTTGTCATGTTGCGGTCTTTTCATACTTTCTTAGGAAATAGGTGCGAGATTGAAGTGAATGAATGTCTCAGCCACCCTTGTCAAAATGGAGGCTCCTGCATAGATGAGCTCAACTCATTCATCTGTCAGTGTCCTCTGGGGATCACAGGTACTTTACGCTTTATGCAATGACTTCTCAAACTTTAGTCACACATTTCAATGGGACTTTGAATGGTTTAGTTTAAACGTAATTATACTTAATGCATTAAGTATTTTAGAATATTTATTCAATATGAACACAAACCAGTTATTAGTTCTAAAATTACAACCTGCTCATCATCTATGGTATTTTGTTTTTTTAAAGGAGTTGTGTTGTTAAATTATCTTTTTTGTTAAAAAAAAGGGCAGAGCAGCTTATCACGCAAATTCTGCTACAATCTTTCCTATTTGAACAAGACCAGAGTAAATATGTTTCAATCAGTTGGACCAAATCTCCACGTGAACCATAGTGTAGCATCACATTCCATTTTACCCGCACCTCTCTACCATGCTGTATTTTCTCCTATAAGTAGAATTCTGTCCCAAGAAATGCCTTGGGATACCCAAGTCTTAGTCATTAACCGCTTAATCTTTATTTATCCATTTCTGTGGTCATACAGTCATGTCTGGCACCATAGCTTGATAACTATGATCACTGTTATGTGTGGTTGTTGGTTTCCCACCTCTGTGTCCCCTGTACTTAGTGTTTGTGCTCTTATTGACTGTAGCTACCAGCACTCACCAACTGCAGCATGCTGACTGCTTTGATATATAGAGCAAGTTAAAATATTGAGACACCTCACAAATTAAATCATTTTAGAATCCCCGCGTAGCACTGATAACCACTGACTGAACGGCAAGTTTCCTTCAGATCTGAGCCATTTTCCTTTGACCTCTAACATTTGTCTGCAATGTGAAAATTGAGCATAAAGCCTGCTTTGAATTCATTGGAGCCCAAAGCAGGACTCGGTTTCAGTGTGCTGGTTCCTAACTTTAAATGGCAATTTAGTTCTATTAATTATTAATTATAATGTGATCCATATACTCCATCAGTCGTCAATTTCATTTCCTGTGTCCATTAAAAAAATCCTCCCTTTCTCGCCCATTCTTCAATATTCAGTGTATTAATCTTAATTATTACTAGTTTCAGCCTTTTTTCCCTTTGTGCTTTACTTTATTTCTGAATACTTTAATTAGATTGCACTTCAACAATATGGTGGCTTTGGATGTCAATTGCTTCATAAAAAGCTTCATGCTTTCTAATTGTCAATGTTTTTTGCTATTTATTCATGACCTTTTTCTCCATTTGCAAGAGATATATTGTCTGTTGGCCACATATTAATGGTTTTGTTTTTTTAAAAGGGTATTTTATAGATAAAAGCATAAATTACTGAAATGTTTTCATTCAATAAATAAATGTGTAGAAAAACTGAAACTACTATGGACTGAAAGTATAACTATCTATATCATGCTACAGTTGAGGGGGGAAATCTCTCTTTTTTTGTATCTACAGTCAGAATGGACAAGGAGATGGCCACATTATGTCCACATATACCTTACGCCATCCTTTTGGCCCCACATGGGAGGTTGTGCGGTTATAAAACAAGCACTGTCATTTATTGTACTACAAGAGCAGCACAAACAGTGCACTCTAATTACATGGAATGTTGATGTAATTCAAAGACCCATTATCATGTTGGCATTTCACGCTTTGTAACAGCCTCCCCTAACACTCACAAAGACTGTAAATGTGTGAAACGGTGATAGTGCAAAAACAAACAAAATAGAAGACAAAAAAACACCCAAAACATTTTTCTGCTTAGTTTGTGTGTTGCTGCTCTGATTGAAAACAAGGAGAACATGGATTTTTAAAGATTTATTACAAATGTCTTATATGCTATTTAATAAATGACAATTAAAATGGGTTGTTTAGTTTGATAATGGTGCAGAGAACATGTGCATGTTCATGTGCCTGTTAAAAATGTTGACATTTTAAAGCCCTCATTTGAATATTAAAAACAAAAGCTCAGCGTCAATTTGATTTGTGGAGGATGTGGGATGCACTGTATGCACGCAAACTGCCTTTGTGAACAGACACCAAAAATATAGTCGTCAAGTTTCAAATTCTCCATGCGTAGACGTTAAGCCAAATGCACATATTTCCCAAAACTGAAGGAAAATAAGAATCTGAGTACCAGTCGTAAGTTGTGAAGCCAGTGTGCATTACAATTTTTGTTTTGACCGACCTTTCTTTCAAATATTCTTTCACAGGCACCTTCTGTGAAGTCAATTCGGATGAATGTGTCTCTTCTCCCTGCCAACACAATGCCACATGTGTTGATCTCATTCATGGCTATGAATGTGTGTGCAAGCCTGGCTTTACAGGTTAGTGAAAAGGGATTATGTTGATGCCTGATCATGTAGGTGTATTTGTGTGGTGAAGATGGAACTTACAGTTCGTGTCAACTTTGTTTTTTTGGGGCCACAATCTTACCATTTTGAGTCTAATATTCAACAAAACTTGGGAGCGTTATCAGCTAGAGATCTGGTTAAGACTGGATCCCTATAGTGTTGATAACATATAAAATCTAATTCAGACGTTTTGAAATTGGGAAGAACATTTATTTAAAATAGGAAACTGTATTGTTTTAGTTGAAGGTAAAAAAAAACATTGATGTTTTAGTGAAGCAACACTTATCAAAGAACTCAGGATCGGAGCATTTTTACCACTGTGTTGCATCACTTCTTCTTTTACAGCACTGGAAGCATCTGGGAACCGAAAAAAATATCAGTGGCTGTAGTTTTGTAAACAAAATGATTTCCCATTCTTGCCTACAGTGTAGGTTTTCAGCTCCTCTGTAGTTCTGAGTTGCCTCTCTTGTTTTTTTCATCTCCTTTTGCGTCAGTGGGTGATGGATCTGGACTTCAGGATTGCAAGTTTAGCAAACTGGGGATTTTACAGCAGGGTCATCTTTTTGTAAATTGTTCAGTGGGGTTATGCACCATTCAGCTCTCTCTTTTAACCACGGCAGTGAATTTGTAGTGCCTGAAAGATATCTTTTATATATATCTTTCGAACATGTTTGCAGTGTACCGTGTTTCTTTACGGTAGTTGTTTTTTTTAATAATGTTCTGTGTAGATGTTGATATAATCTTGATTTTCAAGCCAATTAAGACCAAGAAGTGTGCATCAGTTGTCACGTCCATGCTGGTCATGTAAGACCGCTTAACTCATTCACTGCATTGGAACTTCAATTAGTTTAATTGCCAAACCTTTCTGCCGGTCACTTTTCAAATAAAACATATTTATCAGTCAGTTTTTTTTTCCTTTCAAAGGTGGAAAATGTGAGCTTGACATTGATGAGTGCACTTCATCTCCCTGTAAGAATGGAGCCGCTTGCATTGACCTGCCCGGTAATTACTTCTGCCAGTGTTTGGCTCCATTTAAAGGTAATGAGTACTGAGGGAAAGGGGACAAAAAGCAAAGTTAATTAACTTCACATACTATTATTTTCACCTGTCTGGATCCACTTCACATGTCCCAGGAAAATTAGTATATCTCAATTTGGTAGCTGTGGTTAAATAAGAAAACGTAGATAATTAGGGAGATGTTAGCCATAGTTGATGTTTCTGTGTCCCAAGTGAATACACCCATCACTTTATACAGAGTCACAGTGCAGCATTAATAATGTATACCAATGGAAATAAAATGCTCTTTCCTGATTTGACATATTGGATTTTTGACGAAAGATCCAAAGCACTGCTCAGATGTAGCTTTCAGAGAGACCTTTAATTCTAGCTATCGGTATTTAAATACAATTATCGTCTCACCAATAAGTCATTTCAAGTTGGTGTCTATTGTAATGATAACTTTAATGATTCAACTAAACTGACAGAAGACTTGGAATGTTGAGAGTACACTTTAATTCTAATCTTACTAGAGGGAATCATGTAAATAATTGAGTGATGTGAGAAACTTTTTTTTGTTTGACAACAATTCTGATATATCTAATGAGCTTATTGGCTGTGAGCTCAAGGACAATAGTCAGAGCAGAGCGTCACAAATCTGAGCTGTACAGCTGTATGGCTTGAAGAAAATTACCCTGAGGAAGGCACAAATAATTTGCAAGAAGATACTTCAAAGAAATTCTGATATCTCGTTGAGGAGAATTCAGAGCTGAAGAAAATGAAAAAGGAAGTATTGGGCTATAATTCAGAGGTCTCTAAAAAGAATGGTGAAAATTAGGCCTGACCTTATTACCCATCTTCATTTTGTTATAGTGCTCATTACTTGATATTGTAGCTTTGTACTGTCAAAGGAAAAAGGAAAGTTCCACAAAAAACCAGACACCTTAAGGAAACTCTATTTGTAAAGTATCTTCCAGAGGCTGTCAGTCAAAGCCTCTGTGATTATTAAGTTTATACTGACATTTGCATCGACATGTTTCTTAACAGTAAAGCAACTGATTTCCCCACAAACCTTTTAGGTTTTCTTGTTAAGCTTGTTTATTCTTTTCATGTCTGTTTTACAGAAATTATCAGAGGTAGGACACATGACCATGTGATCTATTAATGGCTTAGCTTCGTAAAAAAAATGTTTAAATTCTGTTTTTGTCGTTGTTTATTTTGTAATAAGTATGCATGTTTGTTTATCCTTTTGTTCATGTGCAGGCCATGGCATTGCTTGTCAGATGTGTGCTTTGTGCATGGTCTTATTGTCAGCATACCCTATTCCTTTATATGCAATAAAACTGATTACCGGGCAGCTTTTAATGTGCATTGGTCTTTAGTTTTAAGCATGGCGCTTTGGTTGGCCAAGCTAAATGTATATTTAACTTGTTATCATGTTGTAAGTACTGTAAGGATGTTAGATATTCTTTATACTGAATGATCATTTCTGAGTGTTTGTGAGGAGTTTTTTTTTGCTTGATGGTCTTTCCATGTGTGTTTCCATTCCTCACTCCAGGTCATAATTGTGAATTCTTACCCTGCGAGGCCAGTAATCCCTGCGAGAATGGTGCGGTGTGTGTGGAAGAGTTGGATCAGGACCATTTCCCCTTGGGTTTCCGCTGTCACTGTCGCCGTGGCTTCACAGGCCCCCGCTGTGAAATCAATGTGGATGAGTGCAGCTCCAGCCCCTGTTTTCATGGCTTCTGCTATGATGGTAGGAAACAGCTTATGCTGGCAACTTTCTGAAAAGCAGACCCTTTAGATTGGAGAAAATTGTAGACACGGGCATTCACAAACATGTTCTGTAGGATGCACAGTTTCTTATCCATTTATCCATCCATTGGAGTTGCCATTTCAGTGTGTACATTTTTGCCAAAAAAGCCTACCTTAACTACTTGAATTATCATTGACATAGGAAGCTTAACGTCCATATGTCAGTTTATTTGTTACAAGCTTTTCTGCTTGTAGATTTGGCTATTTATAACTTCAACAGGTCTGCTAATGCATGCAGCTTGTGACAGGTTGTGGTCTTTATCATTAAATGAATTGGCTGTGTCTGTTTTTTGTTGTTTTTTTAAAACAGATTTTGGCTACAAGCCATTTGACCCCTCTTAGTAAATATGGCCCTTACTGTCAGTCTAACTGTGATAATATCACAGTGGAAGCTAATGTGGGTATTTAGCGAGCAGAGTAATCCATCTGACATGAAAACTTGGAATACACTTGATTAGGTTCCTTCATTGGAATCTCAAAGGACGTTTGTTAGGGGTGAATTTGTTTTTCATAAGATAGATAATGGATGATTTATGACAAAATGTGATTGTTAATTCAATTTTGCTGTCATATATTCAATCTCAAGCAAATGTAATTTAATAGGCCATTTATCAAAATGATAAAAAAAAAGGCTTCAAAATATAAGTTATTGAAAAAAAAACTTAAAAGGATTTGTTTCTCTGGATGATTTTAGGCTATTTCGTTTTTCATGTTAGATGAAAGGTAAGACAAAGAATTTCAAAATCTCTGCTACTTTCTGTTTTTCAGAAAATTGTCAAAGCAGCAGAGCATTTGTGCCTTAAATCCTTCATTCCACTGTATAACCCTTCCAGTGTTTTACCTAGCCCATGCTGATAAAAACAGTGGAGCCAGTGGATTACCATTGATGTGGATCATTGTTTGACCCTCGTGCTGCTACAGTAGACCGGCCAGCTGTGTTGACCAATCCGAAACACAGTCGGGTCACTTTAGGTTAGTGAGCCAGCCCTCTAGGACCTATTGGCCAGCGCTCAGCAGCAGCCAGCCAGCCACAAGAGACAGAACAGCATAGCCACTGTGGCTGAGATGAGTAATGCTGCTGCCACCCAGGACTTAAAGCATTTAATGAGAGTAATAGCATCTACACACAAAAAGACAGAGTGACAGCATAGATTACGTGGTAAATCTTTGGGATAATGAAGAATCCAGGGACCCTGACTGAGGAAGTAATAAATTCACTCCTGTAAGAACTCCAATTACCTCTGTCACTGGCTGCCTGTACCAGTGTTGTGCAGGAGAAACCGAATGATGCATCCCTCTTTAACGTCATTAATAATTAAAGAGAGCAGCGTGGATTATTAGACATTGGAGATTTTAGTTTCTGATAAGAGGCCACATTTGCAGCACCTGAATAAAGAATGCCTCTGAAATTGGCTCTCTCACTGTGCCGTTTTCCCCTCATTTCTTTTGCGGCCACTGTGTTGAGAACCAGGTTAAAAAAAAAAAAAAAGTGGCTTCCAGGCCTTCATTGAGAAAGAAATGGATGTTTCTATGAAGGGGACAAGGAGAGAGTAGTAGCAGAAAGGAGGATTGAATGTATACTGCAGAGATGTTCATTTAAAGACTGTTAGCGTCAAACTCCATCAGGTGCACAAAGAGGTGACCTGCCACTAACAGTAGATCTGGCAACATAGCCTGTACTGACGGAATCAGAAGGCGTTCGCTGAAAGGTCACATCCATAGAGAACATTTAAAAAAAAAAATCTCGCCACAGTGGTGATTGTTCTTTACGCTCATAACCGGCATTTACCTTTGTAGAGACATAGGACCCTCTCAGAGATAAGTGAAGCAATTTATGATCCAAGTGTCTGCAACCATTTTTCTGATTGTCATCCAGTTGTAGATGGCTTTTACTGCCTTTGTAATCCTGGTTATGTTGGGCCGAGATGTGAGCAAGACATTGATGACTGCGTCAACAGTTTGTGCAGCTCCCACTCAGTTTGCAAAGATCTCCATCAGGTAAGTCAGCCCTTTTTTCTTTTGGTTGCATGTGAATTTATGTTGACACTATGGCTATTAAAAGGCTTAAGAATGACCAGATACCTAAATCAAATATAAATACTAAGACCACACATTCAGTTTTTATATTGCCGAACCGATTTCTTACAACAAGCAGTACTTATGTTGTTTTGATTTATCACAGTGGAAACATATTCTTGCAGCATCCTGTGAAAATATTCTGTTTACTACTGTCAAAAGGAAGTAATTGCAATCTATTGCACAACATTTAGTAAGCAAATAAAAATAAAACAATACATTGATTTAAAAACCCATCAACAAATATGTTATTCACAAGAGAACATAGAAAAAGTGATAAATAAATCCCCCCCCCCTCCGCAGAGATTTGAGAAGCTTTCTTCTAAAAAACTGTAAACAACTATCGACGATGCCTGTGCATATGTCTGTCGCCTGCTCCTAAGGAACTAAAGTACCTCTACACCGGTAGAGATGAAGAATTTTTAAATGGAAAAGTTCAGAGGAAGTAGTGCCCATGATTTCCAAAATGTATTTGAAATTTTTATTCAACTGACCACGGAATAGTTTTCCACTTAGCCTTAGCCCATTTGCGAGTTGAAAATGTTGATATCAGAGTGTGTGCCATCTCCGTTCGTGCTCGAAAACTAACCTGAGGGCAGGAAGCACCTCCAATTAAAACATTTGATCTTTGTCACTTTCCTGATCTGAAAAGGGCAGGCCATCTCTATTCCAGCACTGAAAGCTGAAAGCAGAGTGACTACAATCTGAAATTTTTAATCTCGTATAAACAGAATGAATACCAGCCTGCATCCAAAGCATAGTTAATTTCTTTCAGCCAACTAGGATTTCACCCCCCCCTCAATTTTGTGGTTTAAGTTTGCGGTTTAAATGGGTTCTTACCAAGATGTAACAATGACTTCTGGAATTGTAACTAAACCCACTTCTCCTTCAGTGCCATCTGGCTCCGATAGATGACTGATATGCATAACTCATTTATGGATGCATCCTTTTTGCACAGAGATGTCTCCAGATTCTCTGAACATTTTCATATCATGTACCATAGATGATGGAAAAAGGTTTCACAATTCTCCAGCAAGGAACTTTTTTTTTTTTTAGCAACGCTTTTTGTAGATTACTGAACATCTGCTGATCTACACATCTAAGATTCTCTGCCTCTGGAAGGTCAGTTTTTTATACCTAATTATGTCACTGACCTTGTGCCTGTTAACCTGATTAGTTGCAACATGTTCCTTCAGCTGTTTCTTATTCAGTGGAGGGTCGCCAGACACCCTCACACACACTCCTAAGGTCAATTAAGAGTCACCTGTCGAGCTAATATGCATGTTTCTGGGTGGTTGGAGGAAGCTTGAGTACCAAGGGATCACCTGCACATGCACAGCATCATCTGCCAATATTTAACATTCAACTGGAAACGTTTTGCTGTGAGATGCAGTCCTAACCACCACCATGCAATCCAGATAGTTACCCCTTTTTATGACTCAATTTTTCTCCTTGTAATAGGGTCAGTGATGCTAGTTCATTCCAATTTCAATTTCTGCAACTGCTATGTACTAAGGGAAATCACAGATATGGCTTAAGTAGACCTTTCTTTATTCTTGACTACATAAGTATGTTTAGGAGTGATTTTTAAAGCCCAGATATGGTAAGAGTTTAAGTGGAAACAGCATTGAAGAGTTGTTGCCGGTGAAACAGAGGCAGGGAGTTGCATATATGTCTCAAATGTCAAGTGTAAATGAGAATCTGCAGTTATTCATGTGCAATTAGAGCCAATAGCATTGATTTGTCAGAGGTGTTCAAAGGCCCTGGGAGCTTCAAGCTTCTCTAGAGGTCTTATTCCAACAGCTGCTTATTTGCTAACAGATTGCGGTAGTGACACAGATGTGTCATCGATGAAGTCTTTGACTTAGTTTTTGTTCTTTTTAACTTATTGTGTGTAATGCAGCAAATGCTTAAAAAGACAAATAATATCATGATTGTCACTTATAGAAAATCTAAAAAATGAATTTCTTACAATAAAGCTTCAGTTTATATATATATTCTGTAGAAGTTTATCATTCACTTCATGACTTAATTTAGTCACGAAATGAAAAAGTAATCAATTCTCATTGTAGCAGTGACCTATGAAGACACTCAGAGTTATTGTAGCCATATTTGTAGCAAAATGCCAAATGCTTATTTGTTCAGATTATGAGGTAGTTTACGTGGGTCTGTATGAAAAGGTTTCACAATTCTGTCAGCACTAAAGTCTGGTTGAAACATTACACTTTTTTAGGGATTAACCACAACTGCCATGGACAAAAGTGCACTGTGTGAGGACCAGATGAGATGTGACATGCATTACTAAATTCATATAAAAATTAATTTGAACATTTCCTTTTTTTATTCTTTGTCTCTTTTTTGTTAATGTCTTCCTTGGGTGCAATTTTTCTCAACTCATTATTCAAATTGGGCCAATTTTTGGAAACCCCTTCACAGTCTTGTTTACTGTAAAGCTATTTGTCTATCTGAACACCGTGTCCCTCAGAGCTTTAGCTTATTCTGGAGAATTGCTCTCCCTCAAGGTGACTTAGCAGCAAAAATGAGATTATGTTCTTTTGCCACGGGTAAGGAATCAGAGTCTCCTGGAGGTATCTAATTTATCACAAGGTGACGGCATTTTCCCCCACAGCCATAAGCACCTATAGTGTACAAATTATATCAGACGAAGTTTTAACGGCTCCCCTCCAGTGTATGAAAAAAAGATTAGCGTGCATTCAACCAGAGGTGCTCCAGACCTTTAGACAGGATGTCGGAAAATGAGAATTCCTGAGCAACCCTTGACCATATGTCTACTTTCATAATGTATTCAAAGAGGAATTTAGATTGAGCTTGCACATCACGAAGTAATGGGGAATGAAAAATTCATCTCCCATGGTGTGATTTATTATTGTGATGCAGAATGTAATGATGATTAAAGGACAAGTCACCCACAAACTGCTTTAGGTTAAAAAGATATGAAATTAGCGGTGTTAGATGTTTAATGTCAGTCTCATTCTTAGAGTAAAAATACTTATTTGTACATGCTTTTTAAGACGAGGAAAATGTAATCCTGACAAATCTGAATCACACGTGTTTGCTTTTCAATTAAAATTCCTCTCCAAGCAGTGTGCAGTGGCAACATTGTATGCTCGATCAAACGCTTGTAAAATACACTGAATAGAATGAGAAAAAAAAAACAAGGGGACTGGTGCATTGTCCGCAGGGTGGGTGGTAGGAGGAATATATCTGCATAGCAGTTATGTGAAAAATGTAAGACAAGCCTGACTCTTCCACAGTTTAACCAGATTTTCGAAGGAAAGATTTTTTTGAGTGGGAGGTTCTATTCAGCATTGTTTTTAAGAAAATCAGAATGCAATTATTATTATTTCAAGGATTGTACCATTCTTTTTCTTTCTTTCTTTTTTCTTTTATTTCTTTCTTCGTTTGTTTTTAGATTCACATGTGAGAGTAAGGAAACAAATACACAGCACAATGCCATCCGACTGCCATATAACAATTTAATTAACAGCTTCTGTATGCAAACAGTATACCTTGCTGTTAATGGTGTGTGACGGTATCATAAACACTCGACTTTTCAGAAAATGCAATCTATACTAAGCAGATGTAAAGTGTCAGTATGTTCCAGCGTTAATCTAATAGCGTTTCCTTTTTTGTGTTGCAGAGTTATGAGTGTGTGTGTCATTCGGGCTGGGAGGGGGACTACTGCCAACAAGAAATTGATGAATGTTTATCACAGCCCTGCAAAAACAACGCCACCTGCACAGACCTTCTCAACAGCTACAAGTAGGTGTGCGAGTTGGCTCGAGGGCACGGCCTCACGAGGTGCATCAGTCACTTAATAGATACAGGGAAAAAAATCCGTTCAGAGATGGCAATATGTCCTTCCACTGGCAGTGGAGATAATGAATTGCAGATGGCAGGTAAAACAAATGAGTCAATCAATGGCTCACAGCATGAAAAGGTTTCAGGGGATCTGTGACTCATTGGAGGAAAAAGCTGGTGGATCTGCTTGGGCTAATGCCCTGATTTCACTCAGGAGACTTTAAAATGCTTCAGGTGGAAAAGTTGGGCGATGGGAAAGAATGCAAGGTGGAGTGCTTGGCAGTACTCTGGTGCTCACTGCCACCAAGTGGAATATCCACCTGCTTTGAGGGCAGGTACTTCAGATTCACACACAGTCTGGTTCTCCTTGTTCTCTGTCCGTGTCTCTCACTGTCTAGCTTGCCTGCGTTTTCATGTAATCCCCTCAGCACTCTCACCTCCTGTGTCCTACATTCAGCTGTCCAAAATTGAAAACTGCTCTGGACCTTAGTGCAATTACCCTGTAAATGTCCCTCGTTGTCTTACACGGAAAAACAGGGCTGTGGTGCCAGTGCATTTCAGTGACATTGTAATTGTATGTTGCCCATTCCATGTGGTTCATTTCAACACAGTGTTACCGCTTTATCCATTCTCAACATGGCTGTTCCGAAGAGCACTGCTTCCCTATAATTCTGCAGGATAGGCGTTTATTTAAATTTCTCCAACCTCTACAAAACCATATATTCTGTTTGCTGTATCCAAGGTGCTTCTGCTCAGCGGGGTGGACAGGTGTGGACTGTTCAGAGGACGTGGATGAGTGTGATTCTGGGCCTTGTCTAAATGGAGCTCAGTGTCAGGAGTCAGATATACCTGGGGAGTTCTCCTGCACCTGTCCCTCCTTCTTCACTGGCCCCTTGTGCGACCAGCCTTATGACCCATGTGACCCCTTCCACAATCCCTGCCTACACAACTCCACCTGCCTGACACGCTCCAATGGAACAGCCTCCTGCAGATGCCCAGCTGGTGAGTGAACACACAGAAACACAGCCTTCTGCTCACAGGGTTTCTATTTTAACCCACTTTTCCAGCATTTGTTCTCGTAAAACTTGTAACTTGTTAAACGTCATAATTAAGAGAGTGATTTCAAGGGGAGGGTGTGTCTTTTTTGGCTCTGAAATGCATTTAGTGTTCCTAAAAACTACTGGAAAAACATGCCCTCTTGTACAAAGCTTCTGTGCTGAACTGGACTAATGCAAAGAATCACTGTGACTGGAAAAAACGTTGGTATATTTTGCAAAGATTTATATTAATGAACATTAATCTGTGCAGCCATCTGATGAGTCGAACTGTTTTCGAGGGTGAATCTTGCCTTGCCAAAAATTTTTAATTCAGTTTATAGTAACAATTTCTCTTGATTTTGCCACTTCACTACAGATTGTCAACCAAAGTCACTTTTGTCTAATACCTAATGCATTTCATTCCTTTATTTAATTTAATGAAACAACCCTTTAAGGTTGGAACTTAGTTTAGACTGACATCACATCAGTTGTTTCTAAAATAACTTAAACATTGAAAACTGAGATACATGTCAGAAAGTATGAATAATATTTTTTATTCTAAATGTAGGTAAAAAACTAAATATGGTTACAGGCTTCACAACATTACTGTTCCTTTTCAGTACAATGTCTTAGCAGTCCTTGCTTCTTTCTGTCTCAAACATTGCTTTCTAACTAGATTCTTAAATCCTTGACCATCCTTGTGGTTGGCCCTAATTGGTCAGTGTATAGGTCAATAAAGACAATTTCAATGCATCCATTCCATGTTGGCGTTATGCTAATGTGATATCAAGTTCAGGCAGAGACTGGTCTACAAAAATGCATTTTGGGGGTTTTGTTACAGTCCTCTGAGAGCAAACACAGGCATTATGTAACACCCTACAGAAAAGGTTGAAACCTTAAAAGCCCTTTAAAGGCTACAGTGAGTTGCAGATGCTGATCACTTTCTGCTTAATGTTTATATATATTCAATATACTCTATTTACAGAAAATATCAACAAATCGGTTACTTTCCTTTTTCTATATAATGCAGTTACCAGTTTTATTTTTTCTTTCGTTCACCCATTAACCCATTTTTGTTCTTTAAACAAGGGAAATCAGGGTAAATCCATTAACTCCCATCACCATGGCAAAGGATAAAAGTCCCTTTAATCATGCCTTTTAACATTCTCTGTGTTTTGATGACAACAAACACACTTATGTACAGACCAGTCTGTGCCACCACTGAACATGCTGTTTTAGCTGAAAAGGGCTAAGCTGAGGAATCAATTTTGATTAAAAAAAGACCTATTCCATTTGGGTGCTATGATTTAGCATATCCTAAATGGAACACACTTGTAAAGCCACTTGTAACGTCATTTACTAATGTTTACAGAGCTAACAAACACACATTACACATTACATAGCTTTTTATTTTCAGTTTTTATTCCGTAGTTGCAAAAGAAACAGAGGGGAAACAGGCTGCAACAGGCTCTCTCCTCTGTTATACGTGCCGCACCACCATGCACAATATTCCTGGACATGCAGTGGCGTATTAATCATTTTGGTAGTTTTGCATTAAAACTGTATACACTGCACTTTTGCATTCTGTGTCAACTTTTGAATGTCGTACTAGCAGGTGCAAACAATTTTATTTTATTTAGTTTTTTTCTGACAGCAGGTAGAAGGATCATTCTGAGCAGAATGAGGTTACGGTCATCTTGTTCTGACGTGTTGGCAGAGATGGATTGCAAATTTACACGGTAGCAATGATCATCAAAAGGACTTGAATAATTCAGACATAAGTAAAAAGAAATTGAAAAACTTTACTTATGCAAGTGTAATTAGATTTGGAACATTTGCATGGCTTGATTTTCCTTCACAGTATTATCATAAAACACAAGTACCTCCACAGCGATCAACATATCTTTCTCTGTCCAAATCTGTAATGACACATGGTTTTAAGAAACTCCACTTCTGTCAAACAATTAAGTTAAAGTTTTTCTGTGGCTTCATAAGCACAATCAGCTTGCCGTTGCCTTTGTACAGGTTAAGATGCTATGGGCTTGTGCTGTACCTAATGGCTCTATCAGCACAGAGATGAAAAGATGTTACCAGATATAAATAGAGCAGCTGGGTTAGTTTCAGAAAGCTTCCTTGGAGAGGAATAGGAAATTAGGAGCTGGCTGCATACATTACAGCAAGAGCTTTGCGTGGGCTTGGTCGTTTTCACTTCACACAAGCGACTGTGACTCACTACTCTCCATTATTATTCACCATAAATCCATCCTACATAGCTACAACTCGACAATCACAGAGTTGTTATACAACCACGGGCTCCACTTACTTACCATTCAGTGTAGGTTATTTGTCAAGGAAATCGTGTAGGCCTTATATTATTCCCAGGCCTAATTAAATAAAATTTTGTCTGCCTCAGTCTGCCAGATTTAATGCCACAGGCAAATCTCTTCCCACACTCCAAAGATGGACACTACGAACTAAATGTTATCAAGGTTAGTTTGACATTTAGTGCTTGACATTTTGTTGTTGATTTTTGTACTTTGCGTTTCATGTTTTTAAACCAAATAAAGTTTAAAAAAATAATATATAGTATTTCGTATTTATATAAAACTCTATAAAAACATAGTTTGTGGTACTTAAATGCCTCCCGTGGCTGGAAACTAGACACAAAGAAAAAAAGTGACAGCAAGAGTTCAAAGCAAGAATGCAGGTGTTTGCACAACAAAGCTGCTTTATAATTCATCCATTCATCCATACTTGCTTTACCCTGTTCAGGGTCATAGAGGCCTGGAGACTACTTCAGCCGTCTTTGAGCAAGAGGCAGGGTATATAACTCAAGCTGGCCAAACCCACGCACGCTCAAACTGATACGTGCAGTCAATTCTAAAGCAGTCTAACAACATGCATGTCTTTGAACTCTGGGAGAAAAGAGTGGACCACCTGAGAAAATCAAGATACGTGTATTGATAGCATGTATGTTCCTCACAGAAAGTGTCAATTTTCTTTTCAACACTGGTTCTCCAGTAGTTAAATGAAAATGAAATTGGTCCACATTCACATACGGACGGTCTGTGCTCTTGTACACGGGCACAGAGGGAGGTCAGGGCAGCTGCACTATGGTAAAACATGCCTCAGGAAATGGAGGGAGCTTTGCACTCTTAACAAGGCTTTATTATAGAATAAACCAGTTGGCTGCGTATTTGACATCCAGATGCAGCTGTTCACCTATTTAAACATGTTTATTAAATAAGTGTGCAAAGTAGTATTAAATGTTAAGAAATACATTTTAAGAAATTTTAGTTATTTTTTAAAAGCTGTACATCTTTTCTCACCACATAGTTTACATTATCAATCAAAACCTTAATTAGTTAATGCATGTCCTTATAATGATTTTGTCAGGTGTTGATGGAATTCTTAATCAATTACCACTGTATTTGTTCTTCATTTTGATCATACCTTTGTTTTTTTTAAATATTAGATTTATCCAAAACAAAATAATAATCAGAAACAATATGGTAAACTCTGGAATCCACATTATTCATTCTTAGTACAATGCGTTACTGTACATAGTCATATAAGAGAATCTGACTAATACAGTTAAGAGTGGCCTGAAATTCCTTTTTATTAGGTTATCAAGTGTGGTTGCAAACACTAGTCAGATCTATTTATTGTTTTTATGTTCTTTATGTAAGAAGCTTCATCTTCTCTGTTCTACATAAACTGGGTGTTACATATTCTATGAGTCAGACACCACAGAAGTTCATGAATCTCATGTAATCACCTTTCAAATGCCTGTATTTACTGAGTCATTTAAACAAACTTTGATATAACTGTGTAAAGCCTGATGTATAGCTGTCTTTTCAGACCTTAGACTTCTTGTGTCAAAATTCCACAGACATTTGATCAATGTGAAAACATAACAATGTTTCTCGTATTAGTTTTACAACATCAATAACACAGTCTTTCTATTTACCGGTTCATGTGTTTTGATGAGTTAATTCAATCCAATTTCCAAAGTTCCACGTTTATTTGCTGCTGAGAAGTGTTAGAGGTAACCGTGGTGATAATGTAGAGAGAGAGTGAAGTACAGAAAGAGCAGTAGAGGGGAGGGGGAGGTACACGGGGAGAGTAAGGGCAGGAGATCCTCTAAAGAGCTGGCTCCTCAAGAGTTTGTTGAAGGTAGACAGGGACAGCCCTGTTCTTGTAGTGCTCGGTATGTCATTCCACCATTGTGGAAAGACACATGAAAAGAGTCGGAATCCTCTTAAGCATGGTGTAGGCACTGCTAGACGACCAAGTTGTGACATGAGCATTTGCAAGAGTATTCAAGTAGATGGGAGCCCTACCCTTACCCTGATGTTAGCATACTTTGTAGGCTAACATCAGGGAGGAATTTAGTGCGGGTGGCTCGGTGTAGCCAAAGAGTGTCAATGAATAGAGGGGTGACGTGGGAATTTTTCAGGCTGATTGAAAACCAGAACCTGGTCCGTGATGTCTGTTTGAGGATGCTTCACTTGGGAAATTAGTTGACCTTTTTATGAAAGATTTCAAACTCTACGAGTGTTCTGCTTCTGAAATCTCAAAAATGATAAATATAAACAATAAATACTCGTTTAAATCCTTTTTAAACCTTTTTATTTAATCTACGTTAGAAAAATTATGTAATTTTCTATACCAGCTGGTTTGGTACATAAATCTAACTGGGAAGTCATCCATGGAAACTGTTTGTAAAAGGACACTTTCAGAAGAAACTTGGCAGTTGATTAGATGAACCATCTGTCCATACCATCTATTGTGGGTTACCTTCAGCCAATCAGATCTTTGGAAAAGTGCCAGTTGGTAAAACTCTTGCAAAGGCCAGTCATGAAAAGAGGGCAAACATGTTTTTCACACAGCAAAGCTTTTTAAACTGATAAAATATGTACATCTACATAAACCTCTTTGGAACCTGCCATTAATTACTAATTTACACCTAAAACTTAACCTTAGCTGACTTTTAAGGAGACGGATCTCTTCAAAAACAATGCCATGCATATCTGAAATTGTGTAAATGGTTTGTAATCAGGAGCAGGTGTGTAGGAAAATCTATTCTTAAGAGCTTTTATTTTCTTTAAAATACAAGGTTTGAGATATCAGACATAATGAACAGTATTTCCTGCATTGTGAAAAAATGCACCAGATGTGTCCAAAAACTGGATCCAGAACAACCACAATGCATGTTTTCTAGCTACTACATGAAAATGGAATACTGTATTGCAAAAATACAAGAGATATTTGGAGATGTTTTCTTTTTTCTCCCTCAATCAACTAAAAGTTCAACTCGATTGTCATGAAAAAGAATCTTTGCTAGCTATGTATGATTTATTTATTTGTATATGTTTTTGCATGTTAAATGGCCATAATCATCATAAGCCCATATTAATGTTGAACAACCATAAAGCAAAAGGATTTGATATGTGGTTGGAAACTTAAGTTGAGAATGAGCCCCGGGACTCTCCAGGCCAGTTCCAGTTCCATCAATGTGTCTAACAAGAGTCAGCATCTTACAAAATAAGTCAAAGACCTATATTTTAAGGGTCACAAATTTTTCTAGTACTGCATTAACACAATGATAAACATGATGTTTATCTGTAGTTACATTTGAATTAATTTATCTATACATTTCAATTCTGTTTATATATTAATAGATATACACAAAAGTACAAATATGTATTCATATATGTATACATATGTGTACTTTTAAACTCTGCAATAAATGAATTATACAGTTAAATATGTAATTAGTTTTATTAGCACAACTATTATATAATAATCTCACAAAATGGTTGATTTGGCAGTTTTAGTTTTCATCACCTCTGCAGGATCTATAAAGCCGCCATTAGGAGGTTTCTACTGGGAACAGCATTAAAGGGATTTGTAAAATGCAGCCACAATGGAAATGAGTTTCGTCTACAAAGGTAGACTGTGTGAACCTTGGGGGCAGAACAAAACCAGAGCTAGCTGAAAGAATCCTCTTAAAAGAAGGTATCAGTAAAGGCGTTATCCTGATTGTAGAGGGCTCCTGTAGGTGGTTTTTGTTCTTGCTAACGGTGACTCTCTGCTGAGACACTGACCAGGAGGCCTAAGTCATCTTGCCTGACCAGCACAGATGCTCCACTTTCCCCCTAATGAGGAGCCTCAGCAGGGTGCCAAACCTGATAGAAGAGCAACCTGAAAATGGGAGAGAAGGGGGAAAGGTCGAGGTGAGGGTTACTGGCCAACAACTACACAAATGAAACAAACAACACGCGGCATCACTCAGGCCAGATATCGCTGCAAGGCAAGACAGCAAGATTACCTTATTTTCCGAGTCTCATGCACAACGCACACATCAGTGCGTTTGCTCAGTTTGGCTTAATTGCTTGAACTCAGATAAATCTTAACACCCAAACTCTGATATTCAGAGTGTTAATCTTGCAGCTACCTCACTTCTGTTGTTCAGAGGAGGATCAGCGCTGCTGTCAAAAACATGACAAGCTCTAAATGATTGTATTCCTGT